CTGCCAAAAGGGTCCCGGTAGCAACTGTGACAACTCAAGGAGAGTCATTTGAGGTTGAACAGGAATTATTTCACCATGAAGTTAAAGCACCTGTGTCAACTTTAAATGCTGCTTCACCTTCACCAGCTCAAATTTAAAGCTCGAATTGATTTAGGTGTAATCTTTCCTTACATTAAGAAATATTAATATTAATGTTGTTAGTACTCAGGGAAAAAAGATGATGTTGGGCTTGTGAAATCAAGATAAGGTACCATTGTACATTGTGTAAATAAGGGAAGTGATTAGCATGACAATAAAATGCGAGTTAAACAATGTCTTTATGGGAAGGAGCTTCAAAATTCTATTCTTCAAACATAACATTTCGAAGAGCCTATTGACAAGAATTAACATTATTATTCACAGAAAAAAAAAAAAAATAGTTCTGCACACTCTAAAATAATCCTAGTTGTTGCATATTGAGCAAACTCTTGCAGCATATTCTTGTGAACAAGTTCTTGTGCTGGAAATGGGAAAGGTTCTTTCAGTTCCACATAGTTAAGATTAATCCATGTAATGCAGATTCTGGACACGAGGCTCTTGCTGATCCCAAATCTATCAGCAAGATCTTGTACAAATAACCTAGCCTTTAGTCTCATAAGTATGAGCAAATATTCATCCAAGAGTGACAGTTTCTTGAAGGCCCCGGCTTACCTCTGTTATCATCTGTTTGGTATGGCTGACTCTCTTTCGACAATTTCTCTCCTTTCCAGTACTGCATCTTTGCCAGCATTGGTTCAATAAAATTATAGAAGCTTACGAGTGCTCCATAGTTTGGGAATCCAGTATAAAATAGAACTGCAGACTCATTATCTTTAATTTTGTCAATTGAAAATTGGCACGCCAATAAATATCCCTCTCATTTTCAACTTCACTTAGTTTTTCTTTCAAGTCAGCTAATTGTGCTTGCAGTAGCTCTATTTCCCGTTGCAGCTTAAGGACATCTGATTGTTGCAGGGCTGGTAAAGATGAAGCAGCTTTGACAGTTGACACAGCTGCTTCAACTTCTTGGTGAAATAATTCCTGTTCAACTTCAAATGACTCTTCTTGAGTTGTCACAGTTGCTACTGGGACCCTTTAAGCAGGCATTTTCTGTGGTTTTTTCGGTACTGACTAGTTTAATCGACATGGTTCTGCCCATAAATATAATAATAAACTCATGCTTTTATTAAATTTTTAATTTTACATTTTAATTTTACATTATAATTTTAGAATTTTACATTCAGTTCACAGATATTGTATAAGACCACACTGCACAAAGAAATATAAATGTCACCTTTTTAATAAGGAGAAAAAAATCCAGCCTAAACACTACAATACCGAAAATCAAAGCAGGCATTTTCTTTCGGTATCCAAGCAACAAAACAACCGTACAAACATTATAAACCTTTCACCAATTTCCAGCGACCTGCCCACGTTTTTTCGCATGTCTTCTGTTTTGAAATGTTCTGAGCACAAAGAAGTTGATTTTGTGATGAAGAATCCGTTCTTTCCATGCTGGCGCTTCAGGAGATTGCACCATCTGATTCGCTGCTGGACGTCATTCGGAAACGAGTAGAAATGCAGACCTTTTGGATTGCCTGTTGTGTCATAATAGCTATTAGCACAACAAAAAAACGGCACAGTGTCTTCTTCTTCTTTTCGAAGAAGGAGGAATATCCTGCGTAGGGAAAGTATCGTTCATTGTCGAAATATCTCGATGAAAAAGACGGGACCACCACATTTCACTAAACTCTCACTAGAACTCGCAACGCGACTCAACACTAACCTCGCTATCATGTTTGCGCAATTACACATCCAATATGGTGCCGGGAACTGTAAAAAGGGCTATTTCTGTCTTTCACTATTTGGTGTAATTCTCAGCTGTTCCATCTTTTAGGATTTGGGGTCATTTTCTGACATTCTGCTGTTTGGACCTTTAGGGTTGCCCTTAAAAGGTGTGATCACCAAGAAACAAATACATTTTACTTCAGGTTGACAAGTACATGTGGGAAAAGTTCTTGACCATCAGAAAAAATCATAATTTTGCTAATTAGAACTTTTGAACAAAAAATGAATTGTTTTAAACTTGTTCACCCAATAGAGCTCTTTGAGCAGAAGAGGGCAGCTGTTTCAATTGTTTCTACTTTTATTTGCTGCGCAGCGGATAAGAGAGGAATTTTAAAAGAAAAGAAATTGAGTAAGAGTTTAAAAAGATCTCCAACTTGAAAGTGATTGTGAAAACCAGGGACAGGGCAGCTAGTAAAATAATCATTTAAAATTCTACACAGAAAACGAATCATCTAGGAGTGGAAATTGAAAGACTGAATGCTTATATATTCAGCAACAATGAAAGGCCCTAGGTCTAGTTTTGACACTTAGTGGGTGCTTTCATGAAAAGATTACTGTTCGATACCCATCATTCCTCTCTCTCTTTCATTGGTACGCATTATTTTACAGGATAAACCGCTGAATTTGTCTCGATTTGCAACGTGGCGACTTAGATGACAAGGAATTATACAGAGCTTTGATCTTTCCTATTTCATCAAATTGGTGATTGAAAACGTCAGAGAACTTTATAGTCGGGTGAGTTTTTGATCGATACGAAGACGTACTAACATTTGATATGTACTTGTAAGCTTGTTGGTTTCTGAGAGTTCTTCTTTGTGTGTGTTAAGTTGCAATGTATCTCAGTTTCGCGAATTATGAGACAGCTGCTTAAATTTTGTAGCCACTATTAAAGACTCTTGAATGGTATAAAGATATTGAAAGATCGTGGGTCATTTTGTACCAGTTAAAGAAGTGATTCAACTTTTACTGGTTGATTATTTTGGAAAAATGACATAATAATTTAAATCGTTTTGTTCCGTGAGATGACATGTTAACATCAAATTATGATAAGGGTACCCAGCAAAGTTGAATTCAATTTTTGACAAGTATTCTCTCCTTCTTTTGATTTCAAATTTAATAGTTCACCACCTCCTAGATATCATATATATACCAACATTGTTATTTTGTGCATGCAACGCGTACATTATTTTAGACCATTGGCTTGGGAATTCTTTCATTTCTTTGAAAGTAGTAAGTGTGCCCAACTGGAGATGCAGGGGAATGAGATTTCACTTGCACATACCCAAAATGCAGTGCTTTCAATACGATTTGAAATAGGTGGCTACATTAGTACAACACCTGCAGGAGAGTGACTTGATTGCGACTTGAGCATGGTGACTGCGACTTGAGTGTGGTGAAATATACCTGGGGACTCACAACAGAATACCCACCAGAGCTCCAGTGGGTGCCGGGTCTTAATGAAAGCACTGAAAATGGGCATACAGTTTTTGGATCAGTTTAAAAAAGACGCACCTAAAAATCTTATATGCACCAAGAGTGACTAGTGTCTAGTTTCCCCTTACACTATCATCCTTGAATCATGCATTAAGGTTATGAGAATATTGAAAATGATCAACAACTACAGAAGTTCTGGATTGTTATGAAAATTCTCCTTGTCAGCACCTTGGGGCATAGAGAACAGCATGGAGAATGTGCATACTGATGTTGGGGTGTAAAGGGTTAACGTAGGTATGAGCAGTACTGTCAATAAAGTAAAATACATTTCAACATTGTAGCATCATAAGTTTTCGTTAACTTCATTTTACTTGACTCAGACCTTGAGAGTAGCAGGTGAATTGTAAGATTTCATGATTGTGCACTGTAGTTTGAAGTGTTTTTTAATGTGTCAATTAGTAATCATTAAATGATACACGTGTTTGAATGCAGAGTTTAAGTTCTGTTTTCTGTCTCTTTGCAATTCATCAATAGCTGAAGAACTCAGCCACTCTAATTGACAACATTTTTGTAAATAAAAATTGTGGAAGAATCCCAAGTGCCAACGTTGTCTCAGACATAAGCGACCACTACTGTCAATTCTGCTTGACTGAATTCTCCTGCGAAACAAATTTCCCTAAAAAGACCATGGTGTGTGACTTCTCTAGGTTTCCAGAAGAGGATCATAACTCTGAATTAGTGCAAGTTGTCTGGGAATCAATTCTTGCAAGAGGAAATGGAAATATCGATATTGCTTTTTCAAAAAATTTATAACAAACTTAACAAACTGAGAAACAAAGATGCTCCACTTAAACCTCTATCAAAGCAAAAATTCAAGTAGTCCTTAAAACCCTGGATTTCCAAAGGGCTAATCAAATCTCTAAAAATTAAAAACTCTCTATTTGCCTCTGGGGATACCGATAAATACAAGCTCTATTGAAACAAAATTACATCTCTAATTTGTCCTAGTAAAAAGTTCTGTTATCACAAAAAATTTTGCGCAACATTCGAACGACATGAAGAAAACATGGATTGGAATCAACGACATAATGAACCGAAACAAAAGAAAATCAAAACCCATTGTTGGCGGACTATACGGGAATGGTATGATGTGTAACCCAGTGGAATTGTCAAATGTACTAAACAATTTCTTTTCTACGGTTGGCCAAAAGCTAGCAGCAAATGTACAAGATGGTAATTATCACTATAACAAATACTTAACAAATACCAATTTCACCACTTCCTTTTTCTTTGAACCAGTCATTTCATCAGCTATCAAACTAGAAATCTCGCTTTTATCACCAAACAAGGCTTACGGACTATATTCTTGCCCTATTCATGTTTTGAAATGTGCAAAGAGCATATTCGTTTCACCACTAGCTGAGCTTATCAACCTCACTGTCCAAAGTGGAAAATATCCTTCCAAGCTAAAACATGCAAAAGTTATCCCGGTATATAAGGGCAATGATGAGACTGACCCTAGCAACTACCATGCTATTTCACTACTCTCCGTCTTCAATAGAATCTTTGAAAAAATTATGTACAACCGATTGAAATGATACATTGAATATAATGAACTATTATTTGAAGCCCAGTAGGGCTTCAGAGAGAAATTTTTCACTCGGCATGCAATTTTGGACAGGGTGACTACAGTACAAACTAATATGGACAAGAAAATTTCCACGTGTGGTATTTTTCTCGATTTTAAAAAAGCATTTGATGCTGTCAATCACACTATTTTACTTGATAAATTGCACCATTATGAGATAAGAGGTATTGTACATTAGTGGTCTTTGTCGTACTTGACTAATTGAATGGAAACAACGCATATTGATAATGACCATATTTCATCTAAGAAAAACTCAATAACTGGAGTTCCACAAGGGTCTGTGTTAGGCCCCTTACTTTTCTTGATTTATGTTAATGATATTTATCTTTGTAACAGTAAACTTGGCTTTTATCTGATTGCTGATGACACAAACCTGTTATATGCTGACAAGGCTTGAAATCCCTGGAAACCATAGTTAATAATGCACTAAAAAATGTTTATGACAGGCTTAATGCTAATAAACTAACCATTAACGCGAAGAAATAAAACTTTGTCATTTTTAGGCCAGCACAAAACAGAATTAACCATCAGCTATGTATCAGAATTCCGAATAATAACAACAATGGATTCACACTTCTTGAATGCAAAGATTATGTAAAATTTTTGGGTGTACTAATTGATGAGTTCTAACTTAACCTGGAGGCCTCATATTGATCATACTGTTTTTGTTTCGAAGATTAGCCAAATAGTCGGCATAATTGCTAGGCTTAGACATCATGTACCTTTAAATACCGTTCTTCAAATTTACTCTTCGCTGATTTTTCCCTACACGCTCTACGGTATAGCTGCTTGGGGGTCAGGCAGCTCAGAGTGATTTAAAAAAGATTCTCACCTTACAAAAGCGTGCACTCCATTTGATTTTCTTCTCCAGCAAAAGATCTCGTGCTATCCCTCTTTTTATAACTTCGAGTATCCTACCCATTAATATGCTCTATTTTGAAACTGTCTCTGCCATAATGCATGATGTTTCTACTAGCTCTACACCTAGGAATATTCGCGAACTTTTTATTAACTCATCTGACATGCATACATATATTATGGGTTTCTCTTCCACAGAGAATTTTTATGTACAGAAATCTAGATTGCATGTGAAATTTAAGTCTTTCTCTGCATTTGGTACGAGGTTATGGAACTGTCTAAACCCTGACTTGTGTAAACTCATGAAAAGAGCATTTAAAAGGAATATTCATAAGTTGCTTTTGACTATACTTGGGATTGAGGACTATTATGTTGACGCCCATTCACTAATAATGAAATTCAATACCAATGATTATGGAATATTATAACTGTAGTACTTCGCTCACATCCGTATGTCACAATTCTCTCCTCTCTACTCTCCAGTCTGCTCTGCCTTTATTTGATTATTATGTTTTGTTTTTAACTCACTAGCAACTTTTAATTATTGTATTTAATTTGTATGAAAACTGTACGTATCTTTTAACATATAATGTAGTAAACTAATGCATAGCTCGTAACTGTAGTGATGTAGTAGTAATGAAATCTCTTTAGCTTACAATGTGTAGTATTTACTTGTTTATTTCTAATACCCACCAAGACTAGCTAATGCTATGTGCTGGTTGTGTAAATTGGCTTTTGATGTTCTATGAAATAATAATAAAACAGTGAAACAGTGAAGATCTAACAAATTCAAGGCTGTAGCCAGACTTCAGGACAAGAGGAGGCAATTTTCGAGCGCTGAAGGCACGAGCCACTAGAGCAATCTAGAGGTTCAGAAATGCTCTTTTAAGAATTTTTCGTGGCATTTCTCTTCAGAAAAGTCAATCTTAAAGAAAAAAAATTTAAAAAAAGGCCTCGTGCCAGCTACGGCCCTGAAACTAACTGCTACTTAACAACTATTCACCGAAGTGGAGGTGGTTAGTGGTGGATATTTACCAAGCCCCAAAACGGTGAGGTAAATATCCACCGCTAACCACCTACACTGAGGTGAGTAGTTGTTTTAGTATATACTAAAACAGTGAGATAATATACACCACCAAAAATTAATTTGAGTGATTTCTTCACTTGTCATTGGATGCAAACCGGGACGCCATTTTTTCCCTGAGTTGCTTGGAGGTAAATAGCAAAGGATATTCGGAGTTTGACTAGCCAATCAGAGTGCACCTTCAATGGTATCCACTGTTTTAGTATATATTAATGCTTGTTATTCAATGAATATGAGGGGATCTGACGTGCATGTGTGTAACCAGATACCTTTTTTCAATATATAAATTTTCCATTGTTGACTAAGGGCTTTGTTAAACCCAAGAGTTCTTTCATTTACATAGCACTGTTACACATTGGCAACTTACAAATCTGATGACAGACACATCAGATGTGCATTATATGCATATATCATTGTGTATTGGCAATTAAATGTGTCTAACAACACTTGAATGTGCGTATAAAATTGGTACAGGCAATTAACATACATATTAACATACATAGGTGATACTGTTAAATTAAATACATTTTGTATTTGCTCTTAGAAGAGAGATGGATGATCCCTCTGAAGACAGTCGGCCAGGTCAGCCAGGTGTTGTCAAAAAGATTTTTCTAACAGTATCCCAGGTAAACATGTGCTTTAAAGTTGCCCACCTTTTTTTAAAGATATGACTGACAAATAGGTTGGAGCTAGTGTATCTCAAGTTCAGCAGTTAGGATGGTGTGGAATTGATCCTAGAAGCCTTAAATGGTACAGAAAGTTGTTCAATTGAATAGTATTTTTTTCAAGTGTTTTATACTTATGTTTTAGCTCATCTTTGTAATGGTAATAACATGTTTAATTTTTTTATCATTTGTTTAACTTGTGTAATTTCCCCACCACAGAGATACCAAACGTTTCTTGACACAACAGTTCCACATCTTGCGCTACGATGGATTTCAACTCTGGTCATGATAGTGTTGTTCCTTGTCAGGGTACTTTATCTTCAGGTCAGTTAATGTGAGAATGTGTTAAAGTATTACAGTTGATTCTCAATAACTGGAACCACTAAAGGGAATTGAACAATGTTCAGCTACACTGTAATGCAAGTTGAAGCAAGCAAGAGACTGGTCTCGCAGGGCTGCCTCAAGATAATTTTAGTTTTGGAGTATAGCACCATTTTATCTGTGGTGTTTGTTGGTCTTGTTTGCCTTTCATCTTTTGGCAAACACTGTTAAAGTTACCAGGTTTAATTTATATTATTAGAAATTGATTTCATGGGGAAACTAGGATATTCTTGAATTTCCTGCAGATTTGAGTTTGTGTTGGTTCAAGGTACAGTGTGGCTCAAAGATAAGGGGACTAAAATAAAAGTGTTCCTATGTTGATACAGATACTGGCATTGACCAGCATACAAGCACATACTTGTACTTGAATGTGTGATTAGTGTGTAAGAGCTAGCTGATTGTTTTCCCTATTGTGGAATGGTAATTTTTTATTTCAGTGGGCCTTATAGAGTTGCAAAAACTGGTGGTCAGGTCAAGCCATACCTAATACTATATGTCCTTTGAGCATCTTGTGTTTCTTTTGCCTGTGTTTACCTCTGTAGTAACTTTTCATGGTTTCAACTGCAGAAAATTTTCCTCTACATTTACTCACCAGAAAGTATGTTCTGGGGAATCATTACTGTGTAATAATTGAATGATGTTTTCCTGTACTTTCAGGGCTGGTACATAGTCACATATGCACTTGGTATTTACCATCTTAACTTGTTTATTGCATTCTTGACACCTAAAATTGATCCAGCTTTAGAAGAATTAGGTGAGGAGGACCTAGGTGTGTTTCTTTCATTTGTTTTTCATTCAAAATACCCAGTACAGTACATGTTAACTAAGGTGCACTTACAGATATTTTGTGACTTACTCTGGTTTTACAATTTAAAGGGACAATGGGAACACTGTCTAGTAGAAATGATGACAAAAAAAGGACAGTGTGAGAATCCTGCACAAAAGCTGTTCTAACCATTCATTCAATTACATTGTGTAGATTAGGCCATCTGCATTCTTGCATAGGGCTTCCATTCATTCAATTCACCAAATACCATAAAACTCCAAGTCCTCTGATTATCTCCTCAGCTCCACCTATGGTATTTATGAAAGTCTCTTCAGTTTATTATTTTCCTTTAACCATTTGGTTTGTTCACCACAGTTAAAGTTTAAATACATATAACATGTTATCACTGTTTTCTTTGCAGAAGAAGATGGGCCTTAACTTCCTACTAAAGCTGATCAGGAGTTCAGACCTTTTATCAGAAGGTTACCAGAGTTTAAATTTTGGTAAGTGCTCTTTGTGAATGATAGACATGGCTCCATCATCCCTTTGTAAGTTAATGTGATAATTTATTAAAATATTACTGTTGATTCTCAACAACTGGAGCCACCAAAGGAAATTAAACAAAGTTTGGCTAATGCAAGTTGAAGTTAGCAGGAGACTGGTCTTACAGGGCTGCCTCAAGATAATTTTAGTTTTGGAGTACAGCACCATTTTATCGGTTGTGTTTGTTATTCTTGCTTGCCTGTGTTCTTTTGTTTTCTTTTGTGGTGTACCACATTTTCTTTTGTTTTCTTTTGTGTTGTACCACATTTTGACATGATTCATCGGTTCCTATTAACAGTAACTAAACATAACCTTGAAATTTAGTGCTATATTTATTGAAATTACAAGTACATGTAAGGAATCTTTTTTGTTGATTTATATTTATTTGGTGGATGGGAGATTATCTCTCTAACCTTCTGATAATGCAAAGCAAAGAAACTAGGTTTTATGGGGACTCTGATATCCAAATGAGACTGAAGTGAGACCGAAAAAACCTTGATACTCTATATTATAGAGTTTTTTCAGTCACTTTAATCTTTACAATGCAAGTTTTGGTACAAGACTTCTAATTGCAAGTTCACAAACATATCAATCATTTCGAGATAACTTTATCCACAAGGTGGCCATAGGTATTCTTTGAAGTTTGTTTGAAGGTTGGGAAGATGTAATCACCTTTTTGTGTTTTCCTCTTTCAGGTATGCAGCAACAAGGGCTGTTGTTATTGCCATAACATGTACATTTTTTGAATTTTTTGACATCCCTGTGTTCTGGCCCATCTTAGTCATGTACTTTATTGTTCTTTTTATCATCACAATGAAGAGACAAATTAAGGTAAGGAGAATCACATTTTGGGCCAAAACCACCTGAACAGAATTAATGTTGCTTTTTTCTTTTCATTCCCAGCATATGATAAGATACCGATATCTACCATTTACTTATGGAAAACAGAAATACAGAGGCAAAGATGAGTCAAGTGATGTGATGAAATCATAAGTTTAAAGAACAGAAAGTTATTGTTGCCAAGCTGTACAGTAAAAGTTTTAGTTATGACTAACTGGATGTGTACATCTGAGTTTAATCAAACACAACCCTAGATCCTCATCTTCAATCATCTGAAACTCAAGAAATTATTGGAATAATCTGTACTGATTTTCCTATCTGTTTATTATTGCAAATTTTGATCTAAAAGGTGTCAATGTTAAATTTTCATGCCAGGCCTTTTGGTCAGTGTTTTTAATGTGTCTTATGCATGAAACCAAACTGTAGGGGAAGTAGCTTGTGCCACCTTAACCCTTAATTCACTATAGCACTTATTTTCCATGATACTGTAAGGAAAAATTAGAGGTCAGTCACTTCTACTAGTTAAGGGTTATTGTACACTTAGTTTACCAAACACAACACACTCTAGATATTGTCAGTGTTATCTAGTTACTTGTGTGCCTATTGCTGTCTGTGCAACCATTTTATTTAGAAATTTATGTGTATAAGGCAGATTCTGAAACAAAAAAGAATCTCTCTTGTTTTTAAATAAAATTTATCAAGGTTTATAGTGCTAGAAGCCCTCTATTCCCCTTGGTCTTCTTTAATGATTCACTCAGGGTAGTAAAGGTAAGGCAAGAAATGGACAAGACTTATTTCTGTAAGAAAGGGGCAAAATGGCCTTACCTTGGTGTTTTGAGGTTTTTAAAAAGAAGAGGTTTCTGGTCTTTGTCATGAATTTGAATATAGAAACATTCAGTTGCTATTAAATAACCTGATTTGAAACTCTTTTCTTGGATGAGAAGACGATTCCTTCTTACACAACAATCGCTAATGCCACCTATGTTTATATTTTCAAATTTGTGTGATCAAGGCTATTTAGATCTTAGAAGACTTTAACCCAGAGCACATGTTCCTGTGCTTCAGACAGATAATCTTTCTCAAAAGTCCTCAACTTTGGGGAAGTCTATTTGTCTGTTTGCAAACTTTTCAAGCCATTAAATTCCTTTTGAAAAGTTTTTTTTTTTATACTTGATAATGATAATGGTTTACAAGACTGGCTGGCTCCACCCTCCTAATCATTAGCTAATTAAAGCTACAGATTGAAGAAACGGGAAATTTTGGGTTGTTTTTTTGTTTGTTTGTTTGTTTTTTTTGGGTTTCCATAAAGAGGCTATGAATGAGTGATGTGTTAGTGCAATGCTCAGTAGAATGAAAATGTTGTAACTGTTTTGTGAGAACTTTGAGTTGAGTACATGGTTAGAATATATTGAGAATGTGAACTTTCTTGTTCAAGGGAGAGGATCAAATTGCCACAAAATTTCAACTTATGAATATTTTATTGATACATCGTGAGCTTCCTTTATTATACAACATATAACTTAAATTTTCATTTTCTACTACAAGTTGCAATCCTCATGGAAATCAAAAGCTGTAACCACGGAAACCAGGCCCCTCTTTGCCTTTTATATTTGTTTTTCTCAACCAAAGGTTGAGGAAGTCAGCCATGGAGGGGGCCTGCTTTCAAGACTTTACAAAAAAACTTTTTTTTTCCCTTCATTTGATCTTTTGAGATGAAACTTGCAGTCAGTGGTATGTGAAAGTTATAACATGTTTTAATGTTGTCTCACATTGTCATGGCCATCTACAAAGCAAAATATATTAACAAGAACATCTCTGGAAAACTTCAAAAACTGTTAAGTAATCTGTGTCACTATCAATAATTATTTTAGCACCTATAATCATTCATTCATAGTGATTAATCATTGGATGTGTCCAACTGGATTTCAATAAATAAAAGATCATCAGTCATCTAACAATTAATTAAAAACATCTCATATTTTGGCAGGAAGGGGCTGGAGAACCCATCCAGGGAAGTAAAGTGGGGGAGAATCTATGGGAAAAGAGGTCTGAGGCTTGCAATTTACATCGATGTCGAGATGAGGTTGAACATCTAAGTAACCCACTTGTACAGCCTGCATTGAGGGCAAATCTTTGGGCTTCACTAATAATTGAGGGCAAATCTTTGGGCTTCACTAATAATTACTAGCCAAATGAGTTAAATTTCTACCCCCAAACTTCCAGATGAGATTAATACACAACTTTTCCACACAAAGTAAATACATTATCTAGTAAAGAGGCGATGAAATTAATCATACCTATTAGGTCTAACTGTTATGACCGTAGAGCAATTGAGTGTTTATAGCAATCCCTTTTGGTATTGCCCGACCATACTCTATGGATGGTCAAGAAAACTCGCGCCCACTATCTCAACTAATCAGATGCAAGGTAAAAACCAATGGAAACTTTCTTAAGCTGAGTTTTTCCATCGCTCTCACTGGTTGATTACTTTTGTTTAGGTGTTACATGGCTCAATCTTGAAGCGCGGTATAACGCTAAAGGCTATGTTACAACGTAAAGTACATTTTGGTGTGAAAGGATTATGGTAGAATCCTGAGTCTTTAATAGATCAAATTCATCACGATGGAATCGTTGAGGGATAAATTACCTTGTTCAGAAATTAAGGGATAAGCTTCGCGAGTGCCAAATTTAAACTAAGGCCTCCCTGTCTAATAATTACTCGCCAAAGGAGGAGAAAGTTGCTGAAAAAATTCCCGAGTTCATAGTAAGGGGAATATTCAAAATCACCAACTAAGCTTGAGATCTCTTTTTTTTTCCTTTCACGGTAAAAGTATAGTCAGAAATTATTTTGAAGTTATTTGATCCGCTCTCATGGCCGTAGTGTTCGCGCCATCGTCCAATGGAAGTCAATTTAATCACTGGCTTTCTTGTCGCTCATTTTTCGTCTGATCAAAGGTTAATTACATTCAGTGTTGAAGTATGTCCGATCATTTTAAAAGACTTGAGACTTCATGGTTCACTCCAGGAACATCCCTTGAGGCGAACTATTTAACACCGATGGTCAGTCTTACGATTCTAAACAAACAACAAGCACTTAAAGTTAATACAACGCATGATTTCCGGTAACCAACTTAATTTTATTCAGGTGGACATGTAGACATGTACATATAAAAGTAAAACCTTTTTTAGGAACCGACATGTCGGAAGTTCTTTAAAAGTCATACAAGAGGTCTAAGTAGATCACGGGCAGTCCCTGCTTTGCGGCGATAAAGAAAATGGTGTTTGCACGCTGTGTGGACCTCTTACTTTTCGTGCGCCTCCCCCCATGCAGAGTTCTGCGTATAGCGCGTTACATCAATTTTTTTTTTGGATTCCCGCGACGGATTTCACCAAAAAATCGTAGTCTAGCCACCGGTAAGTTCTGAGAAGCCTTCTGCAGTCTTTTTTTTTATTATTTTTTTTTATTTTAGGACTTTGAATTCAAAAAACGTATACCGGTTTTTTCAAAGCGGAGAGGACACATTCATTTTAAATTACCTGAACACGCCACGCAACAACTCGTCGTTGCGCCAATCAGGAGTGAACTTCTACACTGTCCTTTCGGGCATGGATCTCGTGAACAGTGCGTTTGTCCGTTCTGTGAATCAAAGAAACAAAACTACAGTGTACCATACTACTCAGATTGATCTTGTGGATAGATAAATACTCATACATGTTATTTTAGAAAACGACAAAACGACACAAACCGAAGAAATAATTGGGAGAGAGCAACATTTTCCACCCTCATGCGCCGGAGAACTGACATGACTAACGTAAAGCACAAGTTTCAATTGAGCATCGAAAGAAATCCAAAATTTCTTTGGTTCTCAGCTTTACTTCGTTCTATAAATTGTTCAGGAAACTCGCGCAACTATCTCAAGGAATCAATGAAAAACCCAGAACTAACCCCAACTCCGTCATTCGCGCGTTTTCCCGCGCTTCAAGCAGATTTTGGTTAACGATGATTGTTCGGAAGCAGAAACGAAAGACTCTTTAAAAAGTAGGCACGTTTATTCGGGCGAAAAACGGTGAAACAGTAAAACGTTTAACTCGGAAAAAACACCAACAACCTAGAAAATTACGACTCAAAAATCTCGCACCCGCGAAAATCGTACGTGTAACTTGCTTATGAAGTTTCTAAGTGCGCGCGCTAATCGCGCGTCACGCAAGTTTAGTAACTGTCTTCTTAACAATGTTGTTCACATTTGCTCTGGTTGGTAGTTGTGTTTACTTTGGTTTGGGTTTTCGACACTCATTTTTATACCGCCGTAAACAAAATATTATGATTTTTTGTTAACTTTCACAAAAATTGGTGGATTATAAGATGACGTGCACATGCGAATTTTTTTAATCACGAAGCATGGAGCGCTTTCGGATTAAGTTTCCTATCCATAATCAAAGCAATCTCAACAGCCAATCAGAGCAAACGCAAAAATTGTGGAAAATGCTAAAGGTGGCCGATAAAAATTTAAGGTGAAAACAAGCAAACTCTCTGAAGAGCAGGAAAGCATGATTAAGTAAACCCCAATCGGTTTTAATTTTGCATCTAATCAGTTGAGAAGGCAGTACGAGTAGCCTTCGTGTAGCCACATCCTTCCCTCTTCCGTTTCTCCCGGAGGGGGGAGGGTACGGTTACACCTAGGCTAGGTACGAGTACCCAATGTGACCAATGTTTTTTGCCGCGAAACGCAAATGTAATAAAAAGCTCCTCACCTGACACCTACACGTTATGCATCTCGAAGAGCCAAATATTGGGAAATATGGCTTCCATGTTTGTCCGTGATTATAATTACTTCCACCAAAGGTACAGCCTAAAGATAAAAAGTAAATTGACAAAGAACAACAATTTAAATTTGCAATATTAAAGCAACGGTTCATGCCGAATATATAAGTTACACTTATTTTTACCTTTTCTCACTTTTTTGCCTCCATGTGATTGTGAATCCTCATCATCTGCAACAATTATACGAAATCTTCTTAGAATAATTGTTTAGACAATGTGATGATATGGAGTTTGTTAAAAAATGTGTCATTTTGGTACAGATTTTTATCAACTCTATGACTGTCCAACTCATGTTCTCTTTATTCAGGTTTTCGAGAGTTATACGCTGTAGTTTTGAATTAATCTATATTTTGCATAACATTCATTCAAAGACTTCTTACCAGGGCATCGCATACAGCAGTCAGTCATGCGCAGTTTGATTGGATTTTTACATCGAAGTTCTGGACATTTCACTTGTGTGCATGATATTTGTTCTGATTTTTTCTGAGGAAAAATATGGAAAAATGTGTCTTCATAAATACAAACAATGACAAAAAATCAAACCTTTGACCCGTGACAGTAGTTTATAACTGTTCACAAGCGCATGTGATTCTGTAAAACAACCGCTTACCAGGCATGTACAGGCGTGACATCTCATGTAACCAAATGGCTGTACATAGGGATACCACACAGCGCCGGCTGGATAGACTTTTCTGTCTCTTTTTACATAGCATCCTTTCAAGGAAGGTCGTTGCCTCTTTTCGTAGTATCTCACGACTTTTTCTTCGATAGCTGACGGAATAATCAGATAAATGTTATGTCTTCTACATCTTTTACCTCACACAAACATAATCTTTCGCTAGGAAACATCCTTTCAGGGTTCCTTTAAGGTCTGGAGTGGTGAAGATTTTTTTTGCCAGAGAGGGATTTGTTCCCCTCTTTCCAAAAATAATGATAATAATAAAAAAAACAACAACAACAAAAATGGAGCCACCTGGCTTTCTATACTGCATGGTCTCAAATCGTAAGAATGAATTACAAGTGCGAATATCATCACATATCATATCAAAAATTCGTTCAAAATACCTGGACAAACCGGGCAGCATGAATGGGGTAACATGATAGGTGCCTCTGTGCAGTTTAACCGCTGACACTTAAGAGGGGCACAAACAATTTCGCTGTCCTGTTGGTAGTAAAAACAGGATCGTTAATATTATCAGAAGAAAAAACAGCAATTTCCAAAATTAAAGTTCAATTTCCCATCAAGTTACCTCACAAGTACACGAAGTACACTTATCATCTTCAGAGACCCACTTTTCCCCATCTGAATACATTTTGTCACCAAAGTGGCAGGAGCCAGGCATTTCGATCCGCCCTCTATGAGGAAATCTCTTACTACAGCTGTCCTCGTTTAAGAAGACCTGGCTCCGCAGCTCTCCTTGCGGGACTTCTTCACTTCTCACTTGCACGTAAACGAGTCCGCGAATGAGGTTACCAAGGAATTCTGGTTCGATGTTGCGCGCAGATCCAGAGATCTGAAATACAGGCAAAACAGTTCGATTATAAATCGCCGACCTGTGAGACAGGCGAGTAGGTAAAAAAAGACACACATTTTGTAAGGGAAGTGCGACTGAACGAAAGAAGCCACGAGACACATGCGGTATGAGAAAATCGCGCGAGGAAGCACACGAGACTACGTTAAATGGCTTCCTCCTTCCTCGCTTCCGCGCGTTTTCCTCGCGTCTGCCCCTTTTCATACGGTGCCGTCTGATATTCCCTTGCACGATTGATTCGTCAAGGAGTATCTCGTGAGAAGTAAAAACTTGCACATAAAATTTTCTCAAATCTTCGTCCACAGTTTCAAGGTATCCATTGATGACCGTTACGATGATACTATCACAATTTGCTAACGTTTTTTAACACACTGATAAAAGATCAGGTGCACATGAGCAGTTATTTTTATCGAGTTAGTCGAGCAGCAATATGAAGACGAGTTAAGTTCATATAATAAATTGATTGATTAATAAACTAATGTAGACAAATGTACACTAATTTTGTCGCGTTAATACTCAGACTTAAGATTTTATTGCTGATTAATGTTCTCTCTATATCATTAATTGCACGTAATTCGTATATTGCCGAATTTTCAAATAATTATGTTTTGATGGAAAGAATATTCATAATGCGAACTCGTATTTTACTTAAAAGGATGAACAAGTTGATCGGAAATCTTTAAACTGTGATTTCGCTCCATCTGACGCACGTTTAAGAATGGCTGATATCAGCGCTTTATACAGTTCTGAAATATAATAAATGGAAATTTCAAATACAAAAAGAATTGAAAGAGGAACGCAATAAAAGCTCGGAACCATCGGGACGTAAAGTAAGTTCATCCTTCCTTATGCGACCTGACGTCTTGATGAGAGGTCGCCAAGGCAATATATAGCTCCGCACGTCACGTGTTTACTAATTAACCGACGACGTTCTCGACCTTGTGGGTAGTTTTTCGTCGAAGTACACCCTTACTTCGTCCGTGGACATGTTAAGAATTGCGTAAAATCTACTCTTCAGTTTTCTTATTTCATTCGATTCCTAAAGTAAATCCAATCGAAGAACAGAAAAATACTGCCGTTCGACCCACTGAAAAGCATGTAGTTTCAAAGGCAGACCAATTCTGGCCAATCTAGGTTTCTCTATGGTTAGGTCTCTCTAATATTGATCAGAGACCTTCAGAAAAACGAGAGATTCATCAAATATCGTGTGACTGGCCAACGCTCTGTCCGCACCTGCTGAGCAACGTGTCGTCATGGCAAATCGCTTCGTGTGACGTGGAGAATTCTCGAGAAAATGTTGTTCGTGAAACAAGTTACTCTGACTTAAACTGATTTAAATTCTTTCAATATTTACAGAGATAACATGAATCGCAACCACTTGCCGCTGCGTGTAACTCAATTTTGACAGTAAACATAAATCGTAGTATTAATGACAAGAAATATAGACACCAACCGTTTCTCCTTCAAACGACCGTAAGAAGTGCACGTGTTCGTCATACGACTGGGGAACCTCGCCATAATCGGCAAAGCCTAAGAGTTCTGCAGTCCTCGTGTTCTTGCGCCCGCGGTCCATGCCACTGATGATCAGGTGATAGTGCAGCGCACAGCTCTTATCAAGAGAAAACCAGGCCTGCCCCGCGGCGCCAGTCTGAATCCTGGGGACAACTTCGTTACCAGATAACAGAGTCGGTGGATCTAGAGGAAGGGGGGTGATTTTAGTTGTTAAAGGAGTGTTGTCTTCGTGCGGCTGGATTAAATGTATTTTACGGTTATTTAAGACACCTCGGATTTCAGAGCACGCGAATGAGAAAAAAATTTTCACTTTGAAAATGAAACAATTGCTCTTAACGAGAGTGGATTCTGCATAGAGGATTCAGTCCCGAAGATTTATAAAAAACTGGAGCTAACTTGAGAAAATTCCTTGTCAAAGTTCTGGGCTTAACGACTTAAATCTTTAACGGGTCTTTTGAATAAAACTGCGGCGAGTCGGCGTTTGGACAAGGACCAGGGGCGCGGTTGGGGGAAGGTTTCAAGGAACAAATTATCATGTTTTTCATCAACACTGTCATGGGATGTAAATCTATATACTGTAAATACGGCTTAAAAAAAGAAAAAACAAAGTCGATTGAAACTGAAGCACGCAATCTAATCTACTTCCTTACCGTGGTAAGACAAATGGTGCCCTCTGAAGGGAAATTGTTTAAGCTGTCCATAGATTTCTCCTCTCCTGCTCACAATGGTGCTAACATTGATGAACATATTGCCACTAAATAGCCAGTAAATTTCTTGAAGTGACGGCCTCTGCCACAACCCTGTCAACTGAAATACAAAGAAGTCTTATTTTCAAGGATAAGCGTCAGCTTGAACGAACAATAAGCTTATGGATAGATTAACCCTTTAACTCCCAAGATCTGATTGATAATTCTCCCCCTAGCTAGTTTCTACATATTTCCCTTTAAATTAGTTGCGAGAATTTGGTGTAAGATCAATATAACAGCTTCTACCTGATAAGTTTGAGTATCCTCAGTACCTGTTTGCTAAATAATGGTGGATATTGTAAGTAAAAGTCACTTCTCGAGTACGTATTGAGTTACTTCAGTCTATAAAACTTTGGTAAAAAGGCAATGTTCAGTTGCTGACGCTAAAATTATGCAGGACAACTCAACCTGGCAGAGCATCCAATCATATAATCACAACAACTACGCAAGGTTCAAATTCTCAAGGTTAAGGTCTTACGTCCATGACAAATTTGTGACATCCCTCCTTTGGACAGCGTTTAGTTTACAACTGGTGAATCTTTGGTAATTATAAGAGTCTAAGTATTCGTTTATGCTGCAATTTGATTCAGGAGAAACTGACCTTAATTCGTCCATGTTCATCGAAGTTTACTGAGCGTGAGAGTCTTTTCACTCTTTGTTTTCGATTTGTCGCTTGAAGATTGATTTCTGTGACATTATTTAGCATTCCCGATAGCAAAATCTGCAACAAGAAACAAGCAACTCTTGATTACCGGTGACACGTGTCTAATAGTTTTTCTAACCTACCAGTCAAGCGAAGTTTTTACGATATGCTCTACCTTAAAACCTAATTTTAACTCACAGGTGTCCTTTGCTGAATAATTGGCATAAATTACCTGATAGCGTATTTGACCATTCTGGAAAAAATCAAAGGAGGCATAACCGCTGGCGCCTGTCATCGTGGGCCTAGGAGCTTCTCGACCAGAGAGCTGGGAGACAATGGCTGTAGGAAACATGAAAAACAAACAAAGAGAAGCTATATCATCGACCCCTGACAACTTACAAGAATTCAACTTAAAATAAGTGAAATTTTTCTCTCATCTGCAAGGCATATTCAAGAAGATATTATCTATCACTTACTGTTGCAAGTTCTTTTAATGCTTATTTGACCGGTTAGTTTCGTTTTTCGGTCCCCAGTGTTCAATATCATCGTGATATTTAGATAACCACGCGACATCCACTTCAGCGCATGCTCAGGAGGATTCTGCCAAGCTGCTTTTAAACCGGAATTCTGCAAGGGAGAATAAGGATCAATCACGATACTTCTTCTCTTTCGAGTAAATCCTCATTACAGCGTACGCTGGTATCTTCGATTGCTGTAAATAAAAACTTGTTGTTTACATTTGTTTACCTCTCGCTTCACTTGAGATGACCCGATTACTTTCACATCACGAGCCCCTCTGTTATTGGTAGGATTTCTGGTCAACTTGATCGTGAACTGTGTTTCCGGGCCTGCAAGGATGGAGAGAGATATGTACATCAAGTTCAGTTCCTTAATTGACTGGTTTTCCACGCATTCGATCTTTCTTTACTTGGCAGACTTTCGACATCAGTTGTGCCATTCAAATAGGTAAACAGGATGCTTTTCGCATACAAAACCTATTCATTCAGCCTACAATGGTTGACCACAAGGTCTTAAGCTTGACGTTCGTCGGAGAAAAGATATCCAACTCTGGAATGAGCTCTTTAGTCGAACTCGTTATAGGTCCACCGTAATAAGCCTAAGCGTGTAGCTTGTCCTTTACGTAACCCTGTTTCCTACTGTCTCACCTAAGTTGTGCAATCCATCATAGCGGAGTTTTATTCTAAGAATTTTTCCACTTTTGGCCAAGTTGAAGGAAGCCAATGCATTGGATGTCTCGTCGCCAGATGACAGCAGTGCTTCAAAGCTCTCTACAGATGAGAATCAAAAGAAAACAGAACTGAAACCTTTCTGTTGATAAAGTATTATTACTTTTTATGTACTGTAAAGAATTTGCGATCCACCACTTCAAGTCAAAGAGTATTCTGGTGAAATTCCTCTATAATTGACCTGTCATCTGCGTAGCCAAAAATTAGCATAAACAAAAATTGGGGTTATGAAGATGACGGAAAAAAGGGAGTAGAAAATTGGATGTAAAGCTCACTCCCTATCAATAAATCTTCAGTTCAAAGCGCACAATTCCACATTTAATTCATAAGCGGACAAAAAAAGTAGGGTTTTCTTTAATCGTAATTTTCCCACAAACGAGTATGGTAATCTGTAATTTCTTCCTTCTCTTAATGTGGTTAAAAATATCCTTCACCAAAGTGAACTCACTAGAACTCATACCTGGTGCGAGTAGAGAAATTTTGCTATAAAAAATCCTATAGAGTTATAAAACACCGGCAGATATGCAGCCATATACAGCCAGATATCTAGAGAAACCAAGTTGGCTGCCCGTTTTATTGGAGTTTTGAGCACATGTGACGGCCAAAATAAAATGTTTGACCAAGAAAATTAAAGTGGGGGTCTTATTACTTAGAAATGACCTTGAAACAGTCCAAAGCGAAGGACCCGTGACCTTGCCATGGAATAACTAGTTTACACCCGTCTCCTTAACGAGTGCAGTATATAGACTTAAGTTTTTTTAAAGATACTTTTGCGATCGTGGATTTGAATCGATATGCAGCCATGTATTTCAGAGATATTTGAAGATGTATAAGAATCAAGTAAACAAATCACTTGCCATACGGTCACGATGGCGGGGCTCAATCTGTTCTAACGGATAAAGTAAAGGCAAAACGTGAAGGACAAGTAAAAGTTTTGTCAGCATGTGCAGATTTGGTATATATAGTTTAGATTTGAACGCATACATGTTACTATCGCAAATATTTTGCGCGTGTAGATGAACATGTCCGGAGTAAGATGGAGGTAAACAACGGAAATATGCCACCAGCTGCCCATCAAGCTTGCTTGAATCTCAAGCTATGGTTGGATAATCTAAAAAAAATGACTTGTGTCTTTCTGAGGGAGAACATGAGTTTATTGCAGAAGTACATCAGCTGTAGAACAGCTTGGTAGTTAATCTATAATCTCCCCTATATCATGATATCATCGCCAGGCACTTCACGGCCTTAGATTGGTGTCGCCGATCACATATTGTTCATCGCTAGTGAAGACTTTTGCTGATATTGAAAAATAATCGTTTGATAACCAATTGAACCACTATCACTTCTAAACACGATAAAATGCCTGTAAATACTTGCTAAACATCTTGATGTCGTCGTACAATATCTTTGTATGTTCTAAACAGGCATCTATTTGACTCAAAATCCCGCTTTATGGACGCAATTTCGACGACGAGTATCAAAATCTAGAGCCTTTTAGAAAAATACGACCTTTATATATACTGTGATGTACTTCATTGCTAAATTAGTACCATGATCATTGTTATAGCAGATTGCTTTCGCCCTTCCTCAAGCTGATCACGTCTTTCTTTGCAGTTGAATTCCGTTCTTTTTATGTTTTCCTGTTGAAACTCAGGCTTGACTGAGTGTGCCATTAGTAAGTTATTGAAAAAGGCCCAGACATTTGTCTTTGATGGTCAGCAAGGAAGCGTTATACTTTCGTTGTTTTGATGCTGAAAACTATGGAAACAGGCAATGATGCTGCATTGGCATGGTTTTTTTTTTGTTTTTTTTTTTATCTCGCCACGATTTTCTTGAAAGTATGTGGCATCTCCCTGAGTCGTGGGTTTAAGTTTCCGTCCTACAGGGATTCCTTTTTATCGCCTGTTTATTCGTCGCGCGTGACAAATGCACACAACCAATATGCTTAACTGCTCTCCTTGCTCTATTGCGACCGGAGTTATTAGAACCTTTCCTCTGCGAAAGTGCCACAGAACAAGAATCACTTCACGAAGTAAATACTGCTGCTTGAGAAGTAAGGAATTTTATAATTTTCGTGGAACCATTTTCTTTCAACACTTACATCAGCTTTTCCCTAAGATAATATTCATAACTGAACTCGTTACATTTCTCGGCGTCATTATTGATACCATACTTGCCCTTCTCAACAATGCAAAATATACCCAAAACCACAGAACTCCCACTAAGTCGACAATGGTGATATCGATCAGCAACTGGGGACCTTAAGCAGTCAGAACGGTAACGCCAAAGAAATGTCGATTAAAAATGAATTTATATTTCAGGTTGAGTTTCGCGAATGTCTGGAAGTGTTTAACGCCTCTCAAGGCGTTACACCTCTACTTCAGCATAACGTTTGTGAGCAGCGTTGAGTTCCAAAAGGAAACTAAAAATAATTTGCTGTCGGTGTTTCCGTTTTCTGACCATGCAAATTTGCTTATTTCACGTTATTGTTTTGCAGTGGACGGCTAAGAAGTGTAAAAAGTTGCCGTCGCCGTCGTGGTAGGTCCCTAATATTTGTCTGAGAAACATACCTTGCGAGTACGATTCGTACTTAATAATGTCTCCAGTGAGTCCAACTGCGTTTTGTTGTCGCTTGAGCTTCAATTCTACGCTGACTTGTCCTTGTTTGAAGGATTCAATGGCCTTTTTACTCAGTTGATTCCAAAAAAGACATACCTAAGTTTAGAGGCATCAATAATCAAGCAATGGAAATATAAACTGGACGCAAAAGAACGAACGACAAAAGTTGTACTGGCGAGGTGACACTCTGAACACACCATTTTTGCCTGCTCATCCTTCTAGAGACTAAATAAGAGTCTAGAAAAACACTTATTTTTCTTGGATATGATGTCATTTGTGTGGGTAAAGTTGTATGAAGAACATTCGTAAAACATGTCCGACGGCAATTGACTTTTTTTGCAAGCACATTTTCCTTGGTAAGTCTTAGATTCCAGAAAGCGTAAGCTTGAAACACCAACTAAGTAAGATTTGCTGATAATAATTTGGAAAAATATTGCATGATATGTGGATAAAGAAATTGGTAAAAGCACTACACGATAAAATAGCACGCATTTACACTACTCCGAGGAGCCGTTTTTCGAAAGTCGCGGTAGTGACCAGTCCGAGAAAGTGTTTATTTGGTTGCCCTATTTTCATTCAAAGATCGAGTTACTGATAGCTTTGGAATTCCAACATTAAAAGGATCAGGAAACGAAACAGAATGGTTTGGCTTTTGAGCTAAAACCCGCACTGTTTTCGTGAGATTTAGATTTCAAAACACAGGACCCGTGTTAAGCTACCTAGCCTCTCGAGATATAGTTTTGAACAACCTGACTCAAATTTAGAGATTTAGGTTCGTGCATCCACTCAGGCAAGATTATTTATTTACTTGGGAACGAAAATGGGTACCGGCAAACATTAGGGAACCCTAGAAAATGTCAGGGAAAGGGGCTAGAGGGAGTTGCAGAGGACAACAATTCGTCTAGAAGAGAGGGTAGCATTCTCATTATCCCTCGATGGATACTCAACTCTATGAGCAAGCAAAAGGGAACTGGGTTCGAAAGGTAAAATCCTCGAATGTCATCGAATCAATCAAGACGAGCGTAACAATGAAAAGACATATGATTAAAATCTGATGAATCCATCTTATAGGCACTAACCTGGGATCCATTAATAGATCTTTTTGGAATGTTTATTTCCTTAAGTGGTGATCCTTTAGAATCTTTAAACGAAACCATGCGAAGCTTCCGGGACCTGTGGCATGAGATGAAAAAGTCAACAGAACAAATCGAAACGAAAGTTTTCAGAATTCTCAGGATCGAAACTATCAGAACTTACCCTTCATAACGTATTGAAATGTGAAGTGCGTTTCGCACCAGAGTGAAGTGTGCACGTCCCACGCCATTTTGGCGGGAAACTGAGGATGCCGGTGCCTTCAGCAATGAGATGAACTCTTGAAAGAATACGATACAAAATAAGTTTCTGTTTAAAATGATTTTTATTATTTCATTATTTATTATCATTTTGCTATTATCATTTTTTTTTGGGAAGTCGCAGAATTACAGAATAAATTTGATGTTTATTCACATAACTAATTGTTAAATGAGCTCACTTGCGAGCTCATCTTCTTTTCAAAACCATTCACGAAATGGTAGAATGAATGGCTGGCGCCAAGCGCACTGAAGTTAACTTCAAGTTCCCAGTGATCGATGACATTTTGCTCAACCCTTCAAATGGCATTAACTAATAGATACGGCTTTTTCGGTTTAAGGTCAAGTAAATGAAAACAGTGAGGCTGATAAACAAGGCAGCAGTTTGTAAACACTGCGTTGCGTTTTCCCTCCATTTGAGTTGAATTCTGGGACGTTATGCTTGTGTGGCCTGGTTGCTGAGTTGTTTTCAATTGTGCAGCGTTCGCAATCGAATCTTCAGCACATTTGAACACATTTTTCAAAGGGCTGAGAAACTCTTTGGATCATAAAATGCGGTAAGAAGGACATTTTTGCGCAAAATTTTTTGTGGCGAAGAAAAAAAAATTACACCCCAGGGGAGGATATCCACAGTAAACTCGTGTGTGGGAAATTAACGTCTCCTACTCCAACTCTGCAGGAGACGGGACCTCCATTTATTAATCCCTATCCGAGAAAACTAGAATATCTAACCATTTCCTTATGTTATAGAAAGGTAGCAAATTCTTCTCAATTATTTTAAGACCCTGAGTGTTGGTACGGCCGGGGCTCGAACCCTCGACCTCCCGCATAACAGTCCAGCGCTCTATCCATTGAGCTAACCGGGAGGCGGTTAGCTCAATGGATAGAGCGTCAGTTAGTCAGTTCAAAGCGCTATTTGAAAGAAATGCACATGGAATGAGTCCAGTCTGTAGATACAATTTTCTGCCATATTAATTAATGTTTCCTTGAGCTAAAAATGAGGTCATTCGTGTTCATGTTGTCTTACCGTCTGGGCACGATGGACAGCACTGCCCCTCTTCTACCTTCGGCCGAGCACACGACGTAGTTGGACAGCGGTTTCGAATATTCCGGCATGTCACCTTCCCTTTTTCGGAGTTGTTTGAAATCTGTCATGAGAACGAAACAGCTTGAAATATCAGTTCAACAAATCTTTAGAAAGAGATGGCGTGGAAAGGGAACATGGATTACCACCAAGACAATTGTTGTAATTTGTGGCAGCAGTGCGGTGACAAACTTGTTCTTAGGTGAAGCAAAGTACAAAGAAGGTTTTTGATTGAGAAGGTGTTGCGAGTTCTCTTACAAAGCAGTGAAGAAAAACCATTCCATTCCCATATTACTTTCGAAATCTAATTGAAGATGGTTCTGTTATTTTAATTTTGTATGATGTTTGAGAAATAGCCACTTGAACTTTGGACAGATAAGCTTTTACAGGATTTCCGGGTCTAATAAACAACTGGTGAAAGGCCGAGCGACTCGAAATTAAAATTTTATAGAGGATTAGCTGACGAGATTTACTTGCTTAAAGCTGAAATTGTTACTCTTGATGCTGCATCTGATTGACATAATTTCTCGGCTCTAAATCTCTGCTTGTCGTTTCGACGTGTCATTGGCCTTTGCAAACTTGGGTCGAGACAACATTTCACTTCTAGATGTTTACTTTGTTTTCCGTCGAATAAATTAAACGCGGACAGAAGGAAAAGGATTCTGTCATAAAATAAAGGAATCTTTTTTAGTCGATGGTTTTCCTTTGCGTGTGGTACTGAAATATAAGGCAAGTTCTTTGTTCGTGTTTTAAAATGAATTTGTAATGTAATGATTAATGAACTCAAAAGATAAGCCGTAAACCTACTTTTCTATCGGTTGATTTTAAGATATCTGCTGGTATTTTTCCACGACACACTACGAAAATGAAAAAATTCTCAAACGTATCTTTTATCTGGAGTTCATGTGGAACTACGTGTGTTAATTTTGTCCATCCGTGACCCTTGCTATTGAGAATGTATGGCGGCTGTATAGCTCAATTACAAAGTCTTTTCGTGGATCAGATACACAAGGCCCTTTGTGAATGCTTATACTTAGGATCTATTTAATTGGCGAATGAATTGAATCCAAACAAACAAGCGTTTTGTTGTTAATATGAATTGAGAACAAAGTAGGTGTGTCGTAGCATGGAGATTCATTAGACACCTAGCCGGGAGATCATAGCTTCATTTGAGTGCTAATTGCACTATTGCAAGAACAAATGCGATAAAATTTTACAATCATGAGATGAAAAGGATTATGGAGGATAAAAAGATCAATTATCAGCGGTGGCTTGCCGTGGGGTCGCGTTTGAAAGAAAGTGATAGCATTAGATTAAAAGCGGCACAGAGCGTTTGGGGTGAGGCTTACTAACCGAAAATGCACTGATTTTAATGACAGTGTTTTACTTATGGACCCCCAAAGCGAATCTTTTTTGTTTGGGATTACACCAGGTGTAGGTTTGCCCGAGGTATAACCGTGCGCCTGGAAAGAACGCTCTAAGGTGCGTTGATATCTTACCCTGCTGCATGTGCATATCATGCAATACAAAACTCCGAAAGGGGCTACATCCGGGTGCCAGCTTTCGTCGATAACCTTATGTTGAATCCCAAAATGACACCCTGTCAAAAAGAGAAAGATTGACCTCACTTTAGAACTTTTCAAAATATGTACAAATAAGGAATAGTTCTGGCCCACTCGGCACTGAATTCTACTTTTTACGTTGTAGGGAAAAAGTCTAAGGTAGTAGGTTAGCGGATTCCATAGCAATCGATCCCTTCACACTTGTGGTGCAGGGTCAATCTCAGTGGTAACATCGAGAAAGGCTCTCCGAGCTGTTTCCGTGAAAGAATGAAAGCGCTCATTAACAGAATTAGAACCTTCAAGAGTTGCTGTATATGGAGCCTAAGTGAGAGAGGACTCGGACTTAAAAAATGATTAACTGCAACCAAACGAATCAACCAGAATTATTTTGAGTGTACTACACTCCATGTGTTATCATATGAACGGTCGAGTTAAGTTGCTGCGATGTTTCATGCTGTCAGAGACCTGATTTTAACATCAAACCACTTTGCATGCACGATCATTATCATATGCAACCATTTAGAGGCTGTCTGTGAATAGTGCTTATATAAGCTCGCATACGCGCCCAATTTCAAACCGTGTTGTCCGGGAATTTTCACGCTATCCTAATTTAAATTGCACGACGGTGCATATCGTTTGTAAGAACTAAATTTAACCACAATGTGGAAAATGACGTCGCCTGTTATATTCCGCGCGCCATAAAATCGCAGGAATGAGTGAAAAGTGAAAGCCGCCATTCGAAAAGTATGCAATGACGTCTGCCTAAGACTTCCATGTTCGCCTTAAAATATCTACAAAAGTGGAAAATGGGTAATTTTTAAATTTATCAGAATATTAAAGACAAAACTTGAGGATGACGCTTTCTCTTGTGTTATTCAAGCGGAAAATTATCAGATGGAGACACGAACGTAATTTCTGACGAAAATTGAAGCCATGATTATAGAAAGCGAGATCACTTTCAAAAATTTACACAGTGGCAATTCCTACATTGATCTCAGTCAGTAGTACCGACGAATGTTCAAACATGCACGCTTTCATACTTAAGTTTTGCGTCGAAAAATGGTTGTTGAAGCGATTAGGAAATGGTTTAGTGATTACAGTATAATCTCCAACTATAAATAAACAGAATGACTATAGATCTACGAAGTCTTAGCAAAGTTTCTCCTTACCTCCAGGCTTGGAATTAATTGCCCGATATTCACTTCCTCTGGGTCTAAAAATGAACCTTGGATTCGACGCAGAACAAAGGGGAAAGAAAATCAAAAACAACGTTTCAATCCGCAAGTATTTCTTCACACAACCCATCGCGGAGAATATCGAGACGACACTACTCGTCATTCCTGTAGTCTTTGGTGGTGAAGTTTGAAAAGCGTGAGAATATAGAGCAGCACGTCACGACTACAGCCGCCCTCGAGGATCAAACAACTTCAGCCCAAAACAAATAAATATGAGCTTCTAATTTGCACCAATGACAATATTTGCTCTTACTATTGTTCGGTGCCTAGATTTGCCTGTTTTGGGCCTCCCCCCTAAGACGCATTTGTTCTTTATAAACCTAATATCGTCACTTTAGTTTTGAGTTGTGGCTTCCTCAACCCTCCTAAACTGCATCGGCCTGAGTGACATCGGCCAACTTCCCGTGCTATATCAGCCGTACACGTGATCCCAGACGCCTAAATTGCGGTTCTGTCGACTTTCAGTAACCGAACCTGGCTGGGATCGCCAACTTGACAAGTGTATTTTAAACCTTTGTAGTTGGTTTTGTCAGTTCGACTGACGCTATTTGTCAGTGTCTAGATCGAATTTATATTGCTTGTTTATTCAATTAGCTTGATTGTTCTTCAAATCATTGTTTTCTGGCCTGACGAGTTATCACGGCGTTCATTCAATCAATCAAACGCATTTCTCGTTGAACATTCACTCGATAATAAAACCTAACAAAAGCTTTCACACTCTTCGCGAAAAAGGTAAACAATTGCGCAGAGGAGGTCCAGGAGACTGAGCAAAATTTCAAACTTTTATCGTGTTTTCAAAATATTGACGCGTTTTTTGCAAACAGTGTAAGTGATTTGAGGCCAAATAGATAGCTATTGTTGTGTATACGCCGAGAACTGTCGTGAGATGTTTTGCTTCAAATACATTTTTTGTGAGTATTTTGGGAACTCAAAAGATGTGCGACGTATTATATCAGTTTCTCTCTAAATTTTTTATTGGCGTAAAATTTTAATTCGAGTTTTACAAAGTGATAACTGATAGATCCGGTGAATGAATGATTTTGCGGTTTTCGCGAGTATAAACTTATTGAAATGTTTCATGCTAAATTCTGAGGTCCCAGTCAATTTGCTGAGTCACCCTTCGTAAATCGTGTTAAAAAGAAAAGGTCAATACACCAAAAATGCGGCAATTTACTTTTAGACGCACGTTTTGACGTGGCTGACATACTCATGGTGTTGGTCCGGTATTAAAAGAATTTTCCCAGAGCTTTCTGTAAAGTACCGTCTCGGCAACGCTGTCCTGAACTAACGTCAAAAACACGACACTGAGAAAACTTATGACTTCCAGCTATGTCCTGAAAAAACCGTTCCAACATACTTTAGACGTCCCATGGGAAAACAACGAGACAGCTCGTAGTAAACGCTTGTAGCGCGCGCGAGAAGAAATTTTGCTTCAAGCAAACACGAGCAATCGCAAAAAAAAAATTACGAAATTTCCAATTTAGTTCTAAACCCATCGTGTAAGGCCGGTTGAGCACGTCTACCAATATAGGCTAAAAACAATACAAAGCCTTCGCTCTCGGAACAGCTCCTCCCTTCAACTTGGTATCAAGTGTTGTTTTCATCACCGAGCGCAGAAGTTCTACTTCGTCAGACGCTTTACAAGACTGAGTATGGACTGATTATACCGCGTATATTAGCATAAAAACACTTGAGATTTAAGTATTCTGGCGTCTAGCTTCTTTAATCGTAAAGGTACGGATCACTGACTCAGAAAATACCGTCCTCAAAATTTTTCCTGCATCTTGGCAAACCAACGGTAAGAGTGGGTATAGTCTTTCGTTTTACTGTCTCTCGGCGACACTGTTCATGCGATATATTCTACATGTAGTAAAGGATAAAGGCTTTCACGTGTGTTTTGCTCAGAGTTAGAAGCCTTTACAGGGATATAATAGCAATTGCGCACTTCATTACGCTTATTACGTAAGCTGGATTAAAAACCTGTCTTGTTTAATGGGGCTTTTTAAGACACACCTCCGCGTCAAAACAAAATATTGGACCAGGATTTTTGACGGTCATGGTAAAGGATTTACTGGCTCAGTAAGTCTCGTTAAGTTTTTAGTTCGTTGGGATTCAGCTTTAATCCCGTTCATTTACTTTTTAGTATGTGTTCAAAGTTATTCTAAGCAGACACTGCTACGCGTTTAGACTGGAATTACTAATTACAACAGTCATGAAGTGAAAAGAAACCTTTATAGGCATTTCGTGAGAAACTAGTTTGCTTAAAGACCAGGCTATTTGAATAATTGTTGCTACACCTGTTTTCTTTAATTTGTCTTACTTTTTTCATTTTTGGCCTTTGCTCTTTTTATCGTCTTTAAACCATTCCTAATAAATGTAAAAATAACTTTTTTCCCAGTGATTCGATATCATTATTCCGTTTACAAGAGCTATCATCATACCCAAAAGACTTATTTTGAATAAACTTACTTATAAAGGATTTATATTCAAAAAAGGTCATTATTATGCTTATTTTCCCCATTATACTTATCTTAAAATTAATAAAATTAATTAATAGACCACAGTAGAGGGGAAAATAACTTTTTATTACGAACGTAAATGGAAAACAGATGAAGAACAGTGCAGATTAAAATCATATCATTAAAAATTAACACATGTGGTATTTTAGCTTTGGCGAGGTCTCAATACAATCTTTCATTTCCTTCAGTTTTGGGAGAGTTTTCTATATAACACAAAGAGTCAAAGAAATATTTATTTCATTTGTTTTTTTATTTGTTTTGTCTTGTTTTGTTTTGTTTTTGCAGTATTATTCTAGCATAGTGCTTGATTATTTTCCCTTGCTATTATGCTCAAAATTGTGCCAGTGTATTTACTCCATTTAGAACCCTGTATCTTCAATTTCTTTGTTGGGTTGGGGCTATTCCTAAGTGCCCAAAAAATTTTAACACAAAATAATGATACAGCTATTACTGCTCGGCACCTGAGTATGGCCGCGTTAAAGTATATTACAACAGATGCAAGAGATGGAAATAAACGCGAAGTAGTAGGTGCTTTCGTACCTAGAGTCAACCTGCTAACACCTAAATGCCATATATTTTTAACAGCATTCCACGAGTAAAAATGATGCGCTGCTAGAACGTCCAACTTTCCGCTAAGATATGACTCATACGACGCGGTTCGTATAATTCGTTGTAAAATACAAGGTGTTAACATTCCCTTAGTTACAGTTGACAAGTTTCTTGAATTGTATCGGTAGTGTTCAAGGTTGGATAACATATTTGAAAATATTACTAGTGAAATCCAAATCTACCTTGAAGGTAGGCATGAAGGCCAGAAAGTGACCTAAATCAGTCATTCTTACCCCTTGAATCTGAAGGGAAGGGAAGGCATACTTTGATTATAATTATCTATTGCTGTTAAATGTTTACTACTTTTGATCTTCGAGTCCTTCTTTCTTCGCTGTGCTCCTGGAGGCAGAATTCATCATGCATGACAAGACGTGACAGTTTCTTGCCCTATAACCACACAATGCTCTCTTCGTGGATAACTTCCTCTAACTTTTCTCTTTCCTATTCTAAAGAATAAAAGCTCAGTAGCTTGAGGAACTATGCGCCTACAGCTGTTTTATGTTCTTTTTTGTAAACGTCTGATGATATCGCCCAATTGCAACTTCGGCAAGACTTAAAGAACAAAGGTTAGTAGGACCAAGGAAACTTAATATAACAGATAATCATTAAAATGAAACAAAACAAGATTGTACATTCGAATTAGCAGATGGCAAACCAGTTGGCAATTCACAAGCGCGCATGGATGAAAACACGAACTAGCTGGGACGCTGTGGTAGCGAGATTAGCGCTTCAGGCAATGTCGGCCTCGCTGCTTCATCCATTTCATGTCCAGTTTTTCAGTCACGAAGACTTAACATCTAATACATAAATGAAGACTTAAAAAGGAAAGAAGAAGTAAAAGGGCAAATTATATTGATCGAACCAAACTCTCAATGATTAAATACATAAAAGTAGGGAATGGTAAAGTCATACCGCCGTTTCTAATATCAACTTGTTTGCCAAACTTCGTGTTCTTTTCCTTGCAGTTCAATAATCAATACCTTAATCGCCAGATTGAAAGGCCAAGAGCAACTTCTTTGCTTTCCTAGATCTTTCAGTGGCACGCTAGTTTATATTTATCTTAAAGTAACATCAAAACAATTATGAATGGTATTATAATGCCGGAAAACCACAGTAAATCTTGAGAGCAAAATTTATTTAATACTTCACGTTTTTGTAGAATTATGGCGTCAATTCCTCTTTCCTTCTTAGGATTAGTTCACTGATATATTCCTAGTGAAAGGTTTCTAGGTTACACAAAGTTTATGCGTTCAGCTCTTTGTCGATTTGTATTTCTTGCTATTTCACATGTCATTGTAGAAAATTATCAACGTTATCCGTGTTAACATTTCAAGATGTCGCACAACCTGCAGTTCAGCTTACACGTTTGATTCAGTTCCTTTTTTTTTATCTTTTTTCGGCCATTTGTTGTCAGTTTCCTTCTTTTAATCTTTTATTCGTTTCCCTATTGTAATGGTCATATTGTAACCTGACTTGGGAGATGATTTGTAATGGGTTAGTCTTTCACCAATTGCGACTGGAATAATTGTTACAAACCTGCATGGCAGCCCTATGTCATCTTCTTAACCATGCATGGCTTTGAAAAACTGTTAGTTATTTCCGCTGAAACAAACAAAACAAACAAAAAAAAAACAGAATGAGGACTAGCATAAATTTAAGGTCTACGGCCATGATTTTCTTTTGTATTATATTTCTACCCGGGATTATCAGATCTGGAAACTTGTCAAATATATTGCATGTTGGTTGAAGTTGTTTGCCAGTGTTACACTGATCGATATAGTCATTTAAAGGTGCAGAGACAGGGATGGGCAAAGAGAGACTTGTCGTGCAATTCTTCTACTGTCCATGGATGGGTTGGGGTTTTACTGCACTTAGGTGCCATTGTTGGTTTAAATACAATATTACCATACGCTTGTAATATAATTACTAGCGTTTCCTACTTGATTAATCTTATCCACTTTCTTCAGATAACAAGTTTCTCAAGGATATCTTCTTAATCTTTGCTTTTCTTGGTCGCAATATCTTCAGCAGTTTCATGTTAATTAAGCAACGTTAGAGACAACTTGTTTTGGAACCTTGCAGGGCTAAACCAAAGATTTTATATTGACCACAGAGCTCAGTTCGAGAGTTTCATGACCATACTTGCATCGTTGAGTAAATGATTGTTAGTAGATACTTCATATTTCTGTTGCATGCTGCCACGGTAACATATGGCATAACATTCTGACGCGAGGTTAAGGACAATCATTGACTTAAGTGGTCCGTGTTAAGTGACAGATCTCTTTATCGTCAGTTTGTATCTCTTGGCACTTGTTATAACATGTATTTTCGGCAACGACGCAATACTAAGAGGAAATTAAAAATACGATCATGAAAATGCATCTAAGCCTCGGTTTTTTGTGTGGTTACTTGTATCATATCTCCAAGCGCTGGCTAGCTCTCGAAAGGTTAAGTTTTCTTCTAACGATTTTATCCCTTTTCCTTCCGTAGGAGAACTTTAGGTAACACTCAAATCATGTTCTTGACCGATAATCAAACGAATCGCACAAAATTGAAACTGCCCAGATTTAAAGATGATCGATCTTTTACGGTTGCAAATAAATATAGCGGCGTTCAGCAATTATTTTTTGTGGCAAGAATCATTTCACAAAACCATAAGATAAGATGACGAAAACATTTTTGTGGTCAGATTTAATTTGAAGGAACCTTTGTGCCCTTGAATATGACAGGTTTACGGCTATGTAGCTTTTACAGTGTTTTTCTGGCATATTTTGGATTAGAAAGCATTACCGACTTTAGTTTTTTTTTTCTCGTAACCCCAGTGTTTAGCCAGTAATGAGAATATTTGACCAAAGTAAAAACTAAACAGAAAGACCGAAATTTCTTTTTGACGCTTTACTAGCTAACGTTAATTCAGACTGAAGATTGTGGTTCGTGTTTATATTTTAAAACGATATTTTGAATACACTTTGGTGGCATTCCTTCATAACTGTTTGCATTTTTGAATAATTACAAGTTGCTTTCTGGATGAAAAATATCCGAACGAGTGTTCCAAGGGTCGTATCCACACAATATTACGACACCTTTACTGATGACGTTTTCAGCAACTTTTAGAATATTTCTATATTGATCTAAAGCATCATATCGGATTAAATAGGAAATGGAAAGTTAATTTGAGCGAACTACTACAACATACGACTCTCGGATGAACCTCTCACAGAAACAAAAATAGAATACGTTCCGATCTTGTCAGTTCAAATTCATCCCAAGGGCGGCTTTTAGAGGAAGTGAGGAGCGGGGGGCGGGATAAACGCGTAATCATTCTCTTCCCTCCTCTTATTATTTTTTCTAATTTTTGTGATATTGACTCACTGAAGTGCTGATACGATGAAAAATTCTTCTGTATGCTCTCTCTCTCGATTCTAATGTTATTTTTGGGTAAAAAAGACGCCATGTCAATTATTACATCAAAGTTCTATTTTTTTTTTTTTTTCAACAACGATTTCTGATTTAAACCGTCTGCAATCACTAGATCTTGTTTCAGTTGAGTTTCATCCTGCATGAGACATGTTAGAGCAGGATCGAAAGAGAAAGGAAATCATTTACATACTGGTTAAAATTTTGAAAAGTGAACCTTACTTGAAAGAAAATCATTTACATACTGGTTAAAATTTTGAAAAGTGAACCTTACTTGTTTTGTACGAAGCAGGAGATATCCTTGGTTTTGGAAGTTAGCTAAAAGCTGTTCTGCACGCAGAACCCGCTAAGCTGAAACACGTTATCCAGCATTTTTTAAAGTGAAATTGATTTTTGATATCTTCGGCCCAGAGGGAGTGAAATAAAGACCAAATACAGAATTTAATTGAAAATTTAGGTATTGGCCAGATGGTTAGCAATTAAAGTTGTCTAGATTTAATGAGCTATATTATAATAAGTTTGCAATGCTTGGAATGAATTGTTTTGGTGGCCCGAACTTTCGGAAGATTCAGTCTATACATAAAGGCGATATTTGTGGTTTGAAGTCCTTCATACCACAAAGAACTGAAATTCTTTTTATTTCCACCAAACGTAATATTTGAATACCATAAATCTGATAATCTTTACGCAGGGCACGTTTAATAAAGAAATTTAATCTTTTCGTGTAATAAAGTTGATTTCAAAAGAAAAAGTTACCACAGACTACCATTAGGTACCACCTCTTGAATCTTTGAAACTGTAAAAAAACACAAACAAAAAGGCAAAAAGGCGAAACGTATCTTGTTTTATAATCGATATTTGAAAAATATAACCAAAGAAATGTGTGACATAACATTCGTTTATGTGCCTTGTACGGCCCCTTTAGTGGTCTTGCCAACTTAGAGATAAAATCGAATGAATAAGTCAATGAATGAATAAACGAACGAGAGAACAAAAGAACGAATGGGCGAACGAATAAATGAATGAACGAACGAGCGGAAGAACGAACGAATATACTAACGAGTGAAAAAATGGGCGAACGAACAGATGTATAGATGAATGAATGAACGAACGAACGAGAGAATAAACGAACGAATGAATGCGTGAATGAACGAACGTACAAACGGACGAACGGTTATGGTCAGAAACCCTCCATCAGATACTGCTTGTCCTACCTCTTGCAACTAGAAGGTCGCTTGTTACTACTCATTATGAAGTATTTAAAACTTAATTGTGTAGCTGGTAGCTAATCCGAAATTGTCATCTTTCCTATCATTCCTTAATTTTTTAAAAATGTCCTGTCGAGGGTTAATTTGGATACTTTCAAATATTTAATATTTCCTAGCTCATTTCGGCTTAAGCGTGAAAAAAATCCTGGTTTTCTTTTCTAAAGTTTTGACTCCTTCTTGTAAAAAATCCTTGAATCCGCCCCTTCATTGCTGCTTGTTGCATCTACAAAAATGTTCTCCAAGCTATAGCCTGACTAGCCGCCTTATTTTGGTATGGTGGAATTGGCTTTCTAACTTTGTGACTGACATCATTAAATATATCTTATTAACCAAGCGCGAGGGCCGTACTGGGAGAATATCGGCCCGAGGTCTTGACAGTACGGACCGAGCGCAGCGAGGTCCATACAAAAAAGACCGAGGGCCGATATTCTTCCAGTACGGTCCCGAGCAAGCTTGGTTAATAAGAGATTTATTATACGACTGAAGTTCAAAGGGACACAAGTGCGGTATCATTCGGGACCATTCGGGACAGTGCCCGGTCCAATACTTACAGAATATTGGACCGGCAATAGAGCATTTTGATTGGTTGATTTTAGTTATTGGGCCTCTGACTGCCCGAGTCGTGTAATAAAGAGAGAGTATTGTATACTTTCTTCGAAGAATTATAGTAATCCATGGGACACTTAAATTGATGACAGGGTGCCCTGTTATCAATACCAGCGAGAACTCTACTCTTTTGTGGCACTACTGGTTTGCTAATGCGTACAGGTGTACAGGTCGGAGCTGTTCACAAAGAAAATCCTGTATACATATTACTCGTTTCACACAAAGCTCGTATCAGTGGGGGAACTTATTTTAAAAAACGCCGGGCGGGCTCTATCTAATAGGGGCCAACAAGTATCACAAAAGCCGTGACCATTGACAGGAATGTTTATTAAAATTCAATCTAAATCATCTGAAGTACCTCTCTCCGACCAAAAAATGGAATGTGCAACGGTATGTGCATACCCTAGATTTATCGATTGTTGCTGAATTTTTTCTTCTGCACAAACTTATCGACTGATACAAAGTTTTAAATGGCAGTTGCGAAAAATTGCGTTAGAGGACGATGTACACTACTTTTAAAACCTATCCAGTATTTTTCACTGAGGAGGAGCTAAAAGCATGACAATTACCTATAGCTAAAGCCTGAGTTAGTACCGGGATAAAGGTAAACGACGATTCTCCTACATGGTAGACAAACTTGAAAGCCCCCAACGCTCTACCCATCATCCTCTTGTCACTGCCACAATATCGTAATTGGCAAGCGCGCGGCTTAACAAATTTTTTAATTGCAGTTTCCCTTAACACTAAGGTACATGTATTCCAGATTACTTCTGACGATAAACTTAAATCATTTTATTGTTACAGGATCAGGAGTAAAGAGTTCTTTCTGGTTACCATGGTACTGAAACGAGCGTCAACATTGCTACAGGTAGTCTATAGAAAAACAGGTTACCAAAACGAGAAAAACTTACGACTCTGGACAGAATCATTCATCATGGAAGATTTGTACGGAAATAAGTTCAATTTTAAAGCCCTTACCCTGAATATTGACCAAAATTTCTTGTTGCTCCTTTGATCGATCATGCACCAGAATTGATTTTGAAATATCATTGCTTTACTGCTGTCAAATATTAATCACAAAAGGATTACATCACATGCCAGGGCTCCAATCGTATGTTTCTTTGAATTTTTGTCACCGACTGTGTTTGTTCTTCTTGCGTCTCAGTACAATTTGTGTTGTCTAAGTTATAAAAGATGTTTTAGCAACATACAGGGAAGTCGGTATGGGTGGTCGCGTTTTGAAGAGGAGTTTCTCGAAAAAATTGACCGCAGTTAGCCTTCTGATCGACATTTGCCTTTCTGCCTGTCTACATGGGTCATGATTACAACACGGAAGAATTTTTTGTCAGGAGAAAAGCGCGCATTATTTTTGTTTACAGATCATCTCGGTCTGTTAAGCATCCTGTTCGGTTCACCAGGTCACATCACTCGACGACAGGTGGCGCGCTAACGCTCCGTTTACCTAAACACTGTGACTGGCAGGAAACGTTTTACTTGTTTTAAAATCATCTGCTTCAGTGGAGAAGCACAACTAGATTTTGTTTGCTTTACGCTTGATTACCGTGGCGTAAATTGTCTTCATACCACAACTCTCTTGTAATGTTCTCTATCCTGTTCTTTGAAGTCGCCATAAAGGGTCATTGCTTGCGCAAGACACCGGGTAAGCATTCTACACGCTTGGATTTCTACTAAGAAGCTCGATACAGTGCTTGAGGTCCATGGTTTCTCAGCCATCTGTTCTTTGCGTACCGTTAATTCCCCTATGGTGAGACTGTTTTTGTTTCGTCTGGGATCACTGTTAGGCCTGTTTGGTTTGCTGGTTTGGGAAGTGCTTCATAGACAAAACGAATATAACTTCGCAGGTAAAAGCGTCGTAGAAAATCAATATAAACATATGTTTTTATCTACTATCTAGATTTATTCGATCACTTCATTTTTCTTTTTGTTCATATAATACTTCATTCCCTCCAGAAGTTAATTTATAAAATACTTATTTTGCAGAAAATAACAACTTCAGACACCATGATGTTTACAGTTTTCGAGAAAGTAATTGGAAGGTATGTATCACACTTTCTCTACAACTCTTAAAATTTTTTCGATAGATTTCAGGAATCATCTCATAACGGGCATTGGTAGCACCCTTTGTAACTTGACATTTGAGAAGTTCAACACTTAAATCCTGTTCCAGAAGATTAAACCAAAGTTTGTCGGTAATGAATCGCTTTGCTGGTTCGTCAACAGTTACATTATCCTCTGACACACATTGCATGCATTCCTGATTTTATCTGCTGCATAGATCTGTGTTGGAAATAAATCTATGTCATTTAAGAAGATATTTAAGTATAAAGTTTTTCAAGGTTGCCCCAGCTTAAAAAGAATGACGTAATCCTGCATGAGATTCCCTTTGAGATTTAAGCAAATATTTTATACGAAAAAAATTCTCTAGTCTTTATTCTTTTTTCCGTAAGATACATTTATAAAACATCCGGCTTTTTCTTAATTCCAGGATTAATTACAAATATTTTACACGGGCATATAAATCAAGCGCCTGTCGCTGCTTCCCATTTCTTGTTATCAGTCATTTTAAAATTAGTTTTGAATAACCTGATTATCGTAATGTATGAAGAGTTTGTTTTTGCAGTCTAATTTCCTGACAGTATCTTTTGAGCTAACCTCCTTGCAGAGGAAAAGATAGATAGAACTCTCTTTAAACTCGGTTTTCAGTGCTCTAGTTGCAAAGTACAAGAACCACTTTTCTTTCAGAGCACTGACGAGACTCAAGAGTTGCGAAAAAAGCACCTTATTGACTATTGTCACAAGCGAGACCCAAAAAAACTTCTCCCTCCACATTCAAGCAACGAAATCCCCGCGTACTTTTTTAGAAACATCATTGTGGATGATTACCACAAACTGCTCTATTGTTACATTCCCAAAGTGGCCTGCTCCAACTGGAAACGAGTTCTAATGGTTATGAATGGTGACGCTGCTGACCCATGGAGTATTAAGACCGCAGACGTGCACAATCGCAGTTTGGGATATTTTCGATATTTGAACCAATATTCTGCGGAGGAGATTGTTCACAGACTCAGCACTTACTACAAGTTTCTATTCGTTCGACACCCTTTTGAGCGACTTGTTTCAGCTTATAGAAACAAGTTCATAGACTCGTACAATTTGACGCTCTTCAAAGAGATGTATGGCAGGCATATTATACGAAAATATCGGCATAATCCCGATACGAGATCTCTTAAAACGGGAGAAGGTGTAAGCTTTGCAGAATTTGTTGAATTTATTAATAATTCTGAGCCTGAGTTTATGGATTGGCATTGGAAACTGTATGACATGCTGTGCCATCCATGTTTAATTTACTACGACTTTATAGGAAAGTTTGAAAATTTATATAATGACGCTGACCAGCTATTGAACATTCTCCGGACGAATGATAAAGTACAATTTCCACATAATAAGACTTCTAGGTACAAGTTACCCACAAAACTTCTGGCAAAGGAGTATTTCAAGTCACTTCCCGAGCAGGCTAAAGGCAAATTGTATAACAAGTACAAGCATGATTTTGAGATGTTTGGCTATTCGATGGAAGACTACCCTTGAGTCTGAATATTGTAATTTTTTCGTTTGAAAACGTTGGCCATGTGCCTGCACGTTGTTCTGGTCAAGTGATACAGCTGGAGAATCAGCGCGATGGTGTAATGCTGTCGTGACCTGTCACGTGAAGATCATTTGTTGATCACGTGAGTAATGAACAATTCTGCGACGCCATGTCAAAGACGTGAAGTTAACAATGGCTGCTCTGAGAATCTAGTTTAGCTTCAGACGATTAGGTGGAGTTCAGTTAATAGTCAACTACTCAGACGACATATTATGCCTGCATTACAAGATCAACGCCAATCGCCGCGGAAGTCTTACAAAAAGTGACAGCAACTACGCTTTCTCCTCTTGGAAAAAACTGATTAAGTTAAAGATTTCTACGAAAGGTCAAGTCAGCACTCAAGTCAGAAGTCAAGTCAAAATTCGTGTCAAAACTCAAGTCAAAGGTTTGTACACTGTGACCATGCAAAAACTGACAGCGTGCCGTGTAAACGACTGACAAAGATAATGTTTGAACAAGCTAAAAAATGGCTGAAAGAAGCCACAGATACGCATGATATACCAACGACAGTATCATTTGAACAACAACAGGTGGATCATTTAAAGACATTCATGATGATGTGGCTAAAGGTAAAATCAAGATTTGTCTACACGAAAAGACAACAGGACAAACAGGACAAACAGGACAAACAGGACGAACTTGATTTCAAACAGGATAGACCAGATAACAAACACGTTGTAAAACCTGCTGCCTTTTAAGATGATACAGACCCGCAAGGTAATCCTTGAGATCATCAAAATTACGCGGAACACAAACGTAGTGTATCAGATGGCAAACGAACTAACTAAGAAAAACTACAAAAGGGATAAACTTGATAGGAATACGAGAGGCTAACGATCGGAATGAAATTAAGATCGTCGCTGTTATCGCATTTATCGGTCATTACATTAAGAATGTCACGGTCGGATTGATGAACGAGCAACTGATTGTCTGACTAACAGGCCGGGCTGGCAGTGAAACTGAATGGCTTATTGACCTGTTGACTGACCGGCTGTATGACAGACCGACTGACTAAGCAAATGCCTGAACGACCGATTACGAATCACTGACGAATAACTCCCGATGGTCTGTGTATTGTCCTCATAATGTTCAAACTGACTGAATGAAAAACTGAACTATGACTGACTGATCACTGACTTAGCGACCATGTATAAGACTAACTGACTGACTGACTTAATGAAAACCGCCCGACTGACTTATCCACGAACTGCCGACCAAAGCCAAGACTGAGTGGATGACTGACTTAAAAATAGCTGATCAACTGACTGACGAATTACAAATTTACTTTGCTACTAACTGAGTGACTGACTAATTACTGAATGTCTAACTGATGGACTATCCGTCTGACTGACTGACTGACGGAACGACTGTTTGAATGGATAACTGACTGACTGATCGCCTGACACAAGGTCTGATTGGTGTGACTGTCACACTGAGATACTGAGATACCAATTGAAGGCTGAACGTTCACTAATTTAACTGAGTTTAGTTGTGACCAACCGACTGAATGAATAAATAACAGAAAATGGCTAATGAAATGGCTCAAATCTTACAGAATGACTTTCTGAGCTACTGACATACCAATTCACCTACATCCCGATAAATTCAACTACAGACTGATAGACTCATTAGCAGACTGATTGACTGACTGACTGACTGCCCGACCTGTTAAACAAGTGACTAACACATAAGTCGCTGACTGGGTTACTTGATAACTTTCAGGTGCCTTAAACTGCTCAAATCTAATGGCTGACACATGATTTAGCATTAATGATAAGTTGAGGGACTGACTGAATTACTTGCTGACTTACCCATTGACTAACTGGCTGGTTGACTGACTGACTGTCTGAATTATAGACTGACTGATCGGCTGATTGACTGACGTATTGGCTGACTAAAAAATGACGGTGACTAATTGACTGACCGAGAAAATGACTGACTGTTCTACTAAACTGACACTCTACGGTAAACTTGCTGACAGATTGACATGTAAGCTGCAAGATATCTCAAATTACCTAAGTTGAATGACTAGCTCTTGGATTGGTAACAGTGATGCGGTTATAAACAGACTGTCTGACCAACAGGCCGACTGATTGACTGACAGACTGACTGAATGCCTGGCTTAGTAAACTTGCACCCAACAAATAATTTGCTGATTGATTAAATGTCAACCGTCAAGTGTATTTACTTTTCCTACTCGTATGGCTTGCACACGGACTGGCATTTATGACGCAGCGACAGACTGCCTGACAGACTGATTAACTGCGGTACAGACAAAATAACTGTCTGACTAATAGAAACTGACTGATTAGGTGACAGACAACAGACTGCCTGGGTGATGGACTGACTGACAGCTGACAGACTGTCTGGCTGACAAAATGACTGATTAGCTGACAGACTGACTTTCTGACTGATTAACTGAGTGATTAGCTGAGAGACTGACTGTCTGGTAGACTATCTAATTAGCTGACAAAGTGACTGATGAACTGACTGATTAGCTGACATTGACTTATAGACTGATTGACTGATCAGCTGACAGATTGACTGATTATCTGACAGACAGACTGATTAGCTGACAGACTGACTGATAGACTGATGATCAGCTGACAGATTGACTGATTATCTGACAGACAGACTGATTAGCAGACAGACTGACTGATCAGCTGACAGATTGACTGATAGACCGACTGATTAGCTGACAGACTGACTGATTAGTTGACAGACTGACTGATAGACTGATTGATCAGCTGACGGATTGACTGATAGACTGACTGATTAGCTGACAGACAGACTGATTAGCTGACAGAGTGACTGATTAGTTGACAGACAGACTGATAGACTGACTGATTAGCTGACAGACGAACTGATTAGCTGACAGATTTTAGACTGACTGACTGGCTGACAGATAGACTGATTAGCTGATAAATTGACTGATTAGCAGACGGATTGTCTGATAGACTGACTGATTTACTGGCAGACTGACTATCTAATTGATAGACTGACTGACTGGTTGACAGACTGACAGGCAACGTGGCTCGCCTTACTGACGACCTACTGATAGCTCGCTGACTGATTAACATGTTTACGGCCAGATGTATTAATCTACCCTATACACAACGTTCACACACGAATTACTATTGATGAAACAGAGACGGACCAACAGTAAATGCCTGATGTAAGCATGACTAAGACCTACAAGTTTGACATAGACGGCTGAAAAAACGGCACCGTAAAACTATCTGTCAAAAACTAAAGTTGTGCAACACGATTTTTGGCTGTGCGGAAAGTTCTGCTTGAAGCAATTGATTTTAAAGATAATTAACACTAATGGGCTTCTTGTCATTAATGTTTAACTCCTCTTGCTCTGACGCCATCGCCACTTCATATAAACGTTTTACCAGCTTCCACCATCTCATATTAGACTGTAAAGCGAACGTTTCCGTTTTTAACTTTTGTGCATATAGCTACCTGGGAAAATATTCGCTATAGTCCGAGAAATTTTATTTCAATAAAAACCGTTGAGTACTTACGGACTGACGGACCTCTTCTCTTTCGTTAATACAGTTATATCACGGTATGGCTGACTGAATAACTGACTGACCGTGCTTGAATGTGACTAACTCACAGACTACATATTTTTAAGGTTTACTCGCATACCGCATTTCCTCGAATGAGCCAAGCGGCGCCTATAAAAGTTTTTCAGCCTCCAAAGCGGTGCTTGTTCGAAAGCCTGACTCAAAATTTACAATGCTTAAAGAAACTTTTGTGTAGCATCAGTGAGCAAGCACCAAGTTGATGAAAAACTGACTGACGCCAGCACAGCCTGACTAACTGATTGACTTTCCCACCGACGGAGCGATCGACTGACTGACCGCCTAAATTGATTTACCTACGGACCGACTAACTAGCTGACCGCCTAAAGGCCGACCAATTGACTTACTTACGGATCGACTGACTAGCTGACCGCCTAAAGGCTGACCTATTGACTTACCTACGGACCGACTGACTAGCTGACCGCCTGACTTAAAGACCGACCCACTGACTGACCGCCTAAAGGCTAACTGACGGAGACTGAATGAATGACAGAATGACTTTCCTGATGACTTTTTTAGCTTCAGCCTCCGAGACGGAAAATCCCTGATTTACTCATTTTAGTAACTGAGTTTAATACGCTGAAACACTGACTTCGACCTCTACGGCTTGTCTTGTAGACATTTTTGTAAAATAAATAGTCATGTGACTTCTGACAGCTGACTTCTATACTCCAAGGTCTTTATTTCAGGTGTAACCATTTTTTCAATAAACCTGGCCAGCAGTGGAAAGAGAAATTGATTGGTTGTCACACTGAGAAGAACCAAAGCTTGGTATTGCGTCAATTACAAGCGGTCCACCACGAGCTTCAATATAAAACGGCAATACTTGAATTTGGTAAAGTCTACGGGCATCTGGGGATTCGAGGATGTCTGCTTTTATCCAGGTTTCATCCTTCAGTTTCTCGTCATTGTTTTCAGATTATTTCAATATTGATAAGCTCTGATCCCTTATAGGCCGCAATAATTAAGGTTTGGTGCGGGTTGCAGAGAAAAAAAAATTACCTTTAGTCTTAAAACGACACAAGAGCCATACATGATTTTTTACGGACGGTTTTTATTAATTCCGACGGCAAAAAGTGATGGCAAAAAATCGATCGTTCACACAAACTGAATTCCGCTGCAAGATGGATTAAAGATACAAAGGTTGACTTAACACAACAACTATGACCTCACTTGTAACTAATCTAGACGGGACAGAAAAACCAAAGTTCATCAAAATGGGCAACAGTTTTAACCATAAAGACATAATACAGGACGGTACTAAAAACGTGCTCATATGAGAGTTCGGCTACTGTCACAAATAATTGATGACAAAGAAAAAAAATTGATTAAACATTTTCCTGGTCTAATATAAAACGAGAGAAAAAAGCTAATAAATCGAATTAAGTGGAGGCTCATAGTTGCCTAATCTCCGCGCTGGATGTCTTAACTATTCGGCGTTGCCGTCGGCTTTCACAGCCTCTTCATTCTCGGGCTTAGGTTCGCTGTTTTCCTTTCCCCCCTCTCCGTCCTGTTAAAAAAAAAAAGAAGAAACAATTAAATAAGTGCAAGGCACCCTTCTTAAAAAAATATAAAATTAACTGAAGAACAGCAAGCAGTACCAATCATAACCTGATTACATGGGACGCTTTAAACCGCGCCCATTTTGAACGCTAGGACAAGTTGTACACAATTTTGGCTAATAATTTACAGCAAGCTGTTAAATGTTAATTAGAGAGTTTAAGGTCTAAGTGAGTTTTGAGAATTTACACACAATACTGTCGATTCAATTCCTCAGCGCTCTTTTTTTCTTAAAAGAAATGTGAGTAATTGTGATTTCTGGCGACCAAATGAAGACTTTGAAAAAAACTGAGCTTGAAGCCCTGACATGGCCTTTCTGAAGCACCAAAATCTAACGGTCCAGAGTACAACTAGACACGAGGTGTCAGTTCATCTGACCATGTGTCGACAATCAAACAATATAAACTAGACTAATTTCTGACATCCCGCAATTCCACCTTTACCTCTCTACGAGGGCGCCTGTAGGATCTGCGGTAAGGACGACGACGGCGACGATTCTGTGCCGGACGCTTCAAAGAAAAAGGAAAAACAGCGACAACAATAACCCAATCAGTTTATTAAAGTGAAAACCAAGTTTCTGTCAAATAAGCTTAGTCTAGATTAATGCACGAGACTGTGACTTGCCTGGCGGATTGTTTAACTTTACTGTTCCCCTCTTTTTCCTAAAAGTAAGTTCTTACCCCACACCTATTTCCTAGGCGCAACTACGATGAGACTTCGCACAAATAGGCTCGATCACCAGCCGCTGTACGGGAACCGGAGCCCGCGCTCCTCAAACGGTAGTTACCAAAAACCCCACAGCCTCAAAATATTCACACTATTCATGCATCTATATAGCACAGTCTTCACATAGATGCTTTAATGCGCTTTACAACACTTTGCGCGTGGTTTTGGCCAGAGCCGCAGGACCGCACTGAGCCTAATGTTCCGTCATTACAAAACTAGGTTACCTCTTCTCCCTCTTCTCCTCCTTCATGATCACCATCTCGTTCTTCTTGTTCATCGCCTTCAGGGCGTTCCTCATCAGACCTGCGCCTGCAGAAATGTTACCAACACTAAACGTACGCTAACAACCGAAAGATTAAACATAGATCGAAAAAAGGGCAAAAAAACCTATGCTACATCCACGAGAAAACGAAAGAGAGAAGGAGAAGAAGGAAAGAGAAAAAAGGGAAAAGAAATAAGGAGAAGAGAAAAACAAAGACACATACCTATATCTGGGACGTCGTCTTCGCCGGGGTCGCCTCTTCTCCTTATCATCCGACTCCTCTCTCTGCTCTTCTCCTTTCTCCTCAGACTGATCGCCCGATTCGTTCTCCCGTGGGGGTGGACGAGGCCGGCGACGTCTCGCCCATGGGGGTGGCCCTCCGTAGTAACGCCTGCCCCGGCGAGGTCTTTCATCGTTGTCGTTGCGTTCTTGCTGATCACCCGAGTCACCTCCCTCCTTACCTTCCTCCTCCGGTTTAACCTCTTCGTTGGTAGCGGAGTTGGGCCTGCCACGGGGGCGGCGTCTCCCACGACGAAAATCTCGATAGTTGCGGTAGTAGTTTCTTCGGCGGTCCGCTAAGGATAAAATGACACGTTCTACAATTCTTTTCTTTAATCTCCATATAATTTTTTTTAATCCATTATTCTCATTATTTTTATCATTATGACTATTATTAAATTTGTTTGCCGTCATTGTTATTAATTTTATGATTATCATTACTTTATAGGTTAGCAACTTTGATCAGCTCACACCAAATATACAGCTGTAGGCAAACCTCTCACCCTTTTTCAAGAAAAAAAAAAATTAATTCATTGCTGCAAATCTGAAGAGAGCAGAGAAAAAAAAATTGATTGAAAGCTTGACAATAGGATTCAAAGGAAACTTGTTGAAAAGTTTGTGGAAAAAAAAAGGGGAACTACTCACGAGCATATTTGCTTCCTTGCACAGGGCTCCCGTCTGGTCCTGTTACGTTGGCTGCTTCAAGACCCTGGTAGATAGAGATTCAAGCAAGTGCAAAAAAGGCCAAATATTACAGTCATTGTCTAAGGCTCTTTTCTACATCACACTGAAGGCAATTGCTACAATGTTCTAAGAATAATGAGAGAGTGAGAATTGTCTACCCATCAAAGTTTACTTTATTTCATGAATGAACCAAACATTTTTTGAAAATGTATCAGCACTTATCATTGTTCAATTCTTAATGTGAAGCCGCTACGATCAGTGTTGAACTTTGATTGAGTTGACAAGAATGCTAGAACAGATCTAGCAAATATTCCTTGAAAATGTCATGCAAGAATGAAATTTTTTTTTGAAAAATTGTCAAGAAAAACATCATTGCAAATATAGCACAATTCACTTCTTAGTTACTATCTTAGTGTGAGCTACACCATCTACTTTTTGCACTCTTTTTTTTGATTTGGAAGAATAAAAGTGTACCAAAAAAAGAGTAATTATCATGGAAATCTGGCAAAAAAAAAAAGCTTGGGGTAACCCTGAGATTGCCTAAAAAAGCTGTCTTGGAGAATTGCAGTATGCCCAGAAGCTATTGTTTGAGAAATCTGAGGTCCCCAGCTTTTATATGTAGAAGCTTTTATAGCAAAGTTATACAGGCTGCCAAAAGATAGAGGTTAGACCCTTCGAACCTCAGGTTTTGCTGGGGCATAGCCCTGCCTAATGTCCCATGCAGAAGGGATAACATTCTGTTAACATTCTTAATGCTACAGGAGGTTCAAGCTGGGAAAAGTTCAGGTAAATCTTCTCATTTGTCTACTTGGTTTATGCATACACTTAACCTTTGTTGTATCTTAAGTATTTTCACCATGTTACCCACCTTCGCTCCTGATACAACATCAAACTCCACTGTCTCTCCATCTCCAACACTGCGCAAGTACTTCTTGGGATTGTTCTTCTTGATGGCAGTCTGAGAAGAATAACAAAACAATCAACATGATTGTGATAACAAAGAAAAAAAAATTCTGCTCATAAAGTTGAATTAAACAGAATGAGTAACACATACAAGCATATACACGTGTTATTCTTTCGAGAATTACAAGCCATTATGTTATTATACCTCGACTCCATTAGGTCTTAGGAGGTATACCATGGTGAGTCCATTGTGCAGTCTGATTGCACGGTTAAGAGTAATCCAAACAGTCATGGATACCAGCAGAAGTTGTTATTTAAGTGGAGTGTGGATGCCAGTAGAAGTTGTTATTTAAGTCAAGTGTGGAATTGTTAAACATAAACTAGTTTGGTCTAAGTGTGTCATGCAAACCACCTAAGTCAAACGATCAGTGGAACCTGTTTTGTGTCTGTACCTAAATTCCAAAGTTAAAGATGATGCAAGTGAATGACAATTTTACTCATACAATTACCATGGTGAAATGTTAAAAATCCCTTTGTTGGCCTCATCATTTAAAATATTAATAATTACTACAAAACAAAGAGAGGTTCCTCTTCCAACAGGTGATTAACACAAGGTTTTATTCAACAACCAATTATGCAAAGTCTCTGTCTATTTGAGATAATGCAAAAGTGAAACTTTAATCAGATAGAGGACAACCTTTAAATAACACACTTTCTCCTCGTTAAAATACTGTATATACAGTATTACTTATCAAATGTGACATGGGGACTGCAGCTTTTATATTGAAAATACAACACTGTATCTATTTACTATATTGATTCCCACATACTGAAACCCATGAATGGTTTCCACATTTTATTTCCCAGTTATTTCCAAAAACTAATGAAGGGACAACATGCCTTAACAGAACTAAACAATAGTTTTGAAGGGATAAAAAATTACTATAAAATGTTCAAATTCCAATTCATTATTTCCCTAGTGATTCATTTATGTTGAACTGTTCATGATAAGCAATATAACAAGCTTCTTTGCACAGATCAAAACAAGATGATGTTTGGCTAAGTGGTCCTCAATTTCAAAAAAGCCTTATGATCCTTCAATTCAAAGAGAGGAGGAGTAAATGAAGACTGATATTATTAGAGCAGAACTAATTTGGATCAAAACTAATTTTTCTTTCCAGTTGAGTGACCCAGTTCATCTGTCCTTTTGTCAAAGTTTAACTTCTTTCTGGGTCAATGACACTGACGAGGATATTTTCGCCGAATGTATTTAAAAAATTGTTCATATTCAATTAGCCTAGGTGAATTAAATGGATGGACACTCGTAGTCTAAAAACATAGGTAACGGATGATCAGAAAATGAAAAGCAAAGGGAAACGTTAAAGAAAATATTTGCCAAGTGGCCATAGTCATCTACAGGTTCTGAATCGAACAAAAGTAACCAAGAGAAATCATTAAAATCCGCCTTAAAGTCTAATATCACAAAATCTACCTTACAACTCTAGGGTGCTGTAATTCACACCGAAATGACATTTATTGGATTCTTCGGACAGTGACAAGGATCGAACAACTCACCTGATGAACAAATATATCCTCCTTGTTGTCATCTCTAAGGAGGATAAAAATACAACGAGATTAGTGCAATGCGTGGGACAAACTGGAGGATGCAAATGAGCTCAACGTGGCCAGTGAAAACGAATTTTGACTTCGCTATGCTCTCGCCATCAACGCGCCCAAACTGCGAATTTCAAATTCGATTCTTAACAAAAGAAAATTAACGAACGACTTTGAAGAGTTATATAGCAAAATCAGCTCAGATGAAAGCGAGAGAAGAGACGAATTTAATTGAACTAACCTGTTGATAAAGCCATAACCGTTCTTCACGTTAAACCACTTCACTGTACCGCTCACTTTACTGGCTAGAAGATTGAAAAAGCCACGTCAGACGATAAGCAAAACGAGATGAACTACTCTCTAGCACCGTAAAAGTGAACGGAACACAATCTATACAATAAGGCCATGCCATGTGGCCAAAAAACCTTATCGTGACAATATCATTAACAATTCATATTCACGCTATTGCGGCGCACATGTTCGAGATGTCGCTTTCAATTTATTAGCATGCAACATATCGCGACGCAAGGCAAACTCACCAACAACTTTCTTCTCAACCGGTTGTTTTTCTTCGACTTGAGGCTCTTCAGCCGTGGTCATGTTGCTGATGTTACAGCCTCGTAGGGCTCCGCTACTAGGTGGTGTTTCCCACAAAGGTCTTTTGATGTTCCGTCTGTTCCTCGATGGATGGCGTCCTCTGTGACTCAGTCTTCTCTTTCGCGTATCTTGTAGTCACGCAAAGGGTCTTGGGACCGATCTCCAGTCCCACGCAATTTCTGAGCCATTCTAGCAAATTGTAAATTTATTTTGACTCAGCGCGAAATTGTGAGATCCCGCTTCCACCTATAGCATTCAAACACTTCTCTTTCTTTTTTGGTAACCTTCAAAGAATTCAAGGGAAACACTCGACGTTGATAAGTCAAAGGATATCTTCAACTAGTTATTTTCGGAAACATTCGGGATAATCTCGTGTTTCATCGTACAGTCCTCGGTAGATACGATTGTGAAAGAAAAACATGGCGGTTGCTGGGAGGCAAAATCAACTTGAATACTTTCTGCAAGGAAGCGTGGGAAAGGAATCCGTAACCACTCTTTTGCATAGACTTAGAGGACTGTGTGATGGTGCATCTCGACAGTTTGCGACTTTTGCAGATCATGAAATGTTATATACCCTTGGTAATGTATGGCTATTTTCATATCACGATTAAGCTTAACAATGCAGATGAGATTGTAAGTTTTTTGAAATTACACATTGATGATCATCCCCTGGAAAATAACTTCTTTTTGGCTTCTCGTAGTCCACTCTTGAAGAAACTAATTGTTTAGCCTTGAATTGTTTTGATCCCTCATCCACACTTAGAATGAATTGATTCGAATGTATCAAATTTCATTTCTCAGTCGCACATTTCATTTTTTCGGAGGATGATGTTCTCTAAATCAATTAAATGTTAATATTTGGTAATTCTGTTGTTTGCCTCGTGTTGACGCAACAGTTTTCTCAGTTGTAATATTTCTATCATCACAACCATTGTCATCATTATCATTATCATTACAATTATAGTAATTATTATTATTATTGTTATTATTGTATATCTGTTTAGATCCTGAATGAATTTTACAAAATATTGTTGACTGTGTTGATAATTTGTCAAAGAGTTTTGTGTTGATAACAGATGATAAGTGTGAAAGGGGTTGTCAAGTTCAAATTTGAGTGACAGAGGTCTCTTTATAATTTATGATAATTAACATAATGTAGATCCTATTGTTTATTTCACTGTTTACCTCTTAAGGTGGTCCAGGGAATAGCGTTTCACTAAGAGCACGACACTCTCTAGATGACCCCAAAGCACCATGGTTAGTGGTTAGTGGTAGGTAACTCACCTCAACTTTGTTCCCAGGATCTCTCTTCTTTCCTTCCTTTGAAAAGAGGTATAAGGGAAGGAAGGGAAGTAGGAGAAGGGAGACAGGGAATGTGGTTGAATGGACCTGTCCCTAGTGATTTTTCTCCATTAAGATGTTGACAAGGAAGCATGTAAGAGGTGTACACACACAGGGCAGATGAGAAGTGAGAGAAAGAGGTCATTTTCATTTCCCATGACTAAACAAGTGCTTCTGAAAAATGAGAGTGACAACAGGAAAAAAATTGATTGAAAACATTTTCCATTTTCAAGAAACAGAAGGGGAACTGAGATGTGGCACTCTCCATTGTTGGCTTAGAATTTTACTTCTGATCACTTGCTTTGTTTTGGTAGCATATTTGGAGAAAAAACAAATGAATAAAGGCTGATAGTTTCTAAAGAAACTGTTAGGGGCTGCGTCGGTGGGGTAACAAAATAATTTGGATATATCATCAAAGTTGAAATGGTAATTTGGCCACTGTATCGATTACGATTCGCTCCAACGAAGGACTAACGCTTGAAACATCAGCTTTTGTAATCGTTACGGTGGCCAATTTACCATTTCAACTTTGTTGATATATCCAAATTATATGGAGAAAAAAACATGTTTGCAGGATGAATGTATGGATATTATAGGGACTGGAGGTAACATGTTAAATACTTTTGGGAGTTAAAGTGTTATTAACACTATCAATCTCTCGAGTATTAATATTAGGTAATACTAAAATCCAAAACTGTTCTAATCTGTTTTTTGTTTTTCTTGACAGGCAATTACGTTATGTTGGCCAAAGTGAAATGGGTGATAAAAGTAGGAGCACCCTGTTACGCAGCTGTGTTGAGGTGTCTACAAGTGACAATCTGACAACTTTCCTTAAAGAACTTGGATTTAGGTGGGTAATTTTAATTTATAATTTCTTTCATTATTTATTTTCATTGTGGGTATGCAATATTTAACTTAGTGGTAAAATTGGTTGCACTTTACATAGTAGTGCTTTTTCTTGCTTTAATAGGTACGAGAGTGAATTCGTCTTGAAGGGTTATTATTTTATTAAAGGACACATGCGAATAACTGTCAGTCAAGTTTGTAGAGTAAGTAACTGGCCTTTATTGAGAGCTTTAAAATTGTAGATTTGTGGTAACCTTTTATTGCTATGTAAGCCAACTTCACAATTATGGTACAACAACAGAGTAAAGTCTCTCTCTAATAACCCCAAAGAGTGACTAGCATCTTATTTCTCCCTGTATGATCACTCCTGAATCACACAGTCATGAAGTTCACAAGAAAGAGGAAATGATCACCAACTAGATAGGATTGTTAAACAAAATAATTCTACTTTTTAGCACTCAGGAAATGACATTTCTAGACCGTTTAATGGAAAAGCGTTAGTGTACTTTTTCCCATGTCGGGAATACTGCAATTTAAGTGTAAAGGATTAAAAGAGTTATGACTATCAGCATCTGTTGGTTATACATGAACTACAAAATTAATGCATTCAATCTGTTCTGCATTTACCGTAGTTGAGGGTTAGCAGTGAGATTTAAACTGTGTAATTATGATTATATTGATTATCACACTTCAGTCAACCTCTGTTAACCACTTCACAACCAGGAGAGACAAAAAGGGAATGTCTTCTCTCTGTCAATACAGTTTTAAGCAGAAACATTGTGAGAAAAAAGAGGAATACCAACCTTCATTGACTTAGGATTAAAAATCTTAGAGAGCTTGCTTTCTAAAAGCTGTTAAGTGGACAGTGAGGAGAGTTAAGTTTATTGGTTTGTTGTTATATACAAACCAACATAACAACATTATTTTTGCAGGAGAGATTTGGCTTTCCTCTTGCTGGTGAGTTTGATGGCATAAACATGAAAAAACAATGTCTGCATGGCCAGCAGTAGTTTATCTGTGGAATAGCGTATACTAAATAGCTATTTTCATGGCCATATTTTATTTATTGCTCTTTGCACAGGTCGTGGGTGTCAATGATCCACAATCATCCCATCCGGTTTCAGAGTCATACCTTGTGGAAATCAGTCTTATGACCATAGTTCAACAGGTAATAGAACTAGGGAAACTTATTTTTCATTTGCAATGTGTCAAAATTAAAGAAAGAATCTGAGTTCCCCAAAAGGAATTTAACCTAAGTGCTGAGGCTTTGTGAGAACTTTTTGGTGAGCTGCATGTAGGAAATATATAAGGTTTATATTTGGTAAGCAACCTTCATACTGATAGCAACAATTTCTGTGAGTACTGTGAGTTTGGTACTATGAGCTCAGTGGTAAAGCCTCCCGGTTAGCTCAATTGGTTAGAGCACTGGATTGTGTTGTGCAGGAGGTTGAGGGTTCGAGCCCTGGCTGGACCAATACTCATGGTCTTAAAATAACTGAGGAGAATTTGCTACCTTTCTATAATATCCAGAGATGGATAGATATTTTAGTCTTCTTGGATAAGGACAAATAAACCTTAGGCCCCATCTCCTGCAGGGTTAGGGGTAGGAGACATTAATTTCCCATACACAAGATTACTGTGTGGTGGATGTCCTCCCCTGGGGTGGGATGGGTGGGTTTACTGGGCCCGCAGTAATTGGCGCAAGCTGTTGCGATGTCCCTGCCTGTCGGCAAAGCTAATAAACTAAACTAGCATCGCACCACAATATCCAAAACATTTAGGGTTCCATCCCTTGTGGGGGGAACCAGACATTTTCTTTTTCCCTCAATCCTAATGGAAGAACAGCTTATTAGGTCATTCAACAACTGAATTAAAAAAATGCACCAGCTTTCTCTATCTAGTAATAGGCATTGGAATTTCCAAGTGGTGGGTACAAACAGCTCATTTGCAGCAGTTTCTCATTAATGGCTTTTTTAAAATGAAGGCATTAAATAATTACAAGAAACTTTTTTAAGCTTCTGATTTCTCTGTAGGACACCTTGGCTGATGAGATAAAAGCTTTTGCAGAACACTTGAAGCCGTATCCTTTCCATAAAAATGCAATCATTTTTTCTACAAAGGGAATCAGGGTCATAGATATTTGTGGTGACCTCAATTTGCACAGGTCCTCAAGTCCAGTATCACGGTTCCCAAGAAGAAAGTTTGGGCTTTCTGAGGGGTCTGTGCATTTGGATGTACTTTTAGGGGAAGACAAATTAATCTAGGCATGTACGGAAGAGGGGTAGAGCAAAAAGTAAAAAATATCTGTGAGTTTGAAATCCCAGTCAGTAAAGCCCCAAAGTTTGTGGTTGGATTTGATTAAAAAATTGGTGAAAACCTAATGGAAAACACTTTATTTTTTTCCTTTTGAACCTTGTGGCTCTACTTAGAGAGGCATATGATTCCTGATAGTCTAACTCAGTTATGCTGTCTGATTTGCCATAACACACCTGATCAGTCTGGTTCACTTGGAAAAAGTTGACCACAGAAAACTACACATAACCTAGCAAAGGACAGCTCTGGTAACCTACACTGGCTTGTTCAGCTATGGTATCACAAACTTGCCGCTAGGAGAGTGCTGACTTTGCTGTCAAAGCAGTGACAGATGCAGTTTGTCAAGTTTTCAATTCTTGCACAGATTTATTAAAGTTGGAGCAGGGCCAGGATTTTGATGGTCTTCTCTGTTCAGTTAGCTTTTTGAAACAGTGATCGACCTACACTTTGAAAAAAGGACAGGGTTCAGTAGAACTAATGGTGATGGCACTTCAAATGGAAAGAGAAATGTAAAAGACAATGCAACAAGGTTCGACACAGTATGGTGCTGGAATTGTTCTTCTGATGGAACATTTATATGAAAACAAAAAATAATAAAGTACAAGAGTGCCACATCTTCTCCCAAAGACTTTATTTCATTAGTTTACATGTAACACTCATACACCTGTTCTTTATTTATATGGCAGTGAATCAACTGTTATGGAAGTTTGCCATGTTTTCACATTTATTTCTTCCAATGTAGCCAATTAGTAAATGAAGAGAGAATGTCAATGTGAACTGATGAATGCTTTATTGATTTGAAAAACATAGTTTTATATGTATGTATAGGAAATTTTTACCATTTTTTTTGTTTCTTAAACTCTTAGACTTACTCTGTTTAAGTTGACAGTTTTCCTAGACTGAGTTTCACCACTTAAATCCCTACACTTTTGCAGATGCCTTAAGGAGCCTTCTCTTTCTCAAAACTTCCCTCACTGCCCCTCCCCCAAACAAAAATGCTAAAAGAAGCTAAGGAAGGAGAAAAATAATAATGCTATAACAATGCCCAGCAACTGAAAGGAAAGTACTGCAAAATTGTTAATCAGTTGGATTAGGTAGTCATGTACATTGCATTTCAAAATTTACTTGTTTTGGAATTCCAACATTATTTTATGGTTTTAACCTAAGCAATTCCTGAAGGTTTTTCAATCATTTAAATTCGCATTTTATAACGTAGTCATTATAGTTAGGCAACTACCATAGCTATGGCTTATACACTGTTTCATTCTATGAGTTTTTGATGGCCTCCTGGTGATTAATAAGTCTCTTGAATTATTGCAGTGTTTACAGAAAATGAAAATCTTGTTAGTCTAAACCGCCCAGTCACCATTGAGTTTTGAAAAATTTTATGGGTGCAAGTTTCAAACTACTTTATTAAAGTTTGCGAGAAATTTAAATTGACATCTTTCGAGCTTTCGCACCCATTGCAGAGGTGACCAAGCGGAAGAGCTGTTGCCCACCCTATTGAGGAATCCATCGCTTAGTCACGTGATCAGAAATGTAAAAGAGCGTTGGAACGTTCGGTTAGCACAGTTGCTGTGCATGAAGGGGGAGCGAAATGAAGACGCTTGGTTGTCTTAACTGTCTTCTCTTTTTCGTCTCGGCTGTGCTTATAACAGATATTCACAGTGCAGAACAAGGTAAGATTTTATATCATGGGAATCGCAGTATTCCATTTGGTGGAGAGATCAGACGGTGAAATTTTTTTTGGCTCTTGACAGGATCAGATGGGCTGAGACTTCTTGCTATAACTGTAGCAACGGATGAAACAGATGGCTATAAAAGATTCATGAGATCTGCCAAGGTTAAAAACATCGATGTGAAGGTATTTTTAAATTATTCATGCGTCTTTCCATCTTGTGATTCGCTGGGTGGGAGATCAGAACCAAGTCCTACAAATCCCTTCTCTTCTCCGTCTGATTTGTAAATGTTGTTACGAGATCACAGTTATGTTACTGATTTGACAACATCAACTCGTGACTTGTTGGAATTTTATATTCCTATTTTAAAATGACATTTGGTACGGAGCCATTTAACCTGTGTTGTGCGTCTTTGATCTTCCTTGATCGCTGTGTCTTCGACAAATTCGTGACCATGCATAAATCTTCAACATGTAAATTTCACACGTGTTTTTGTTATGCTTTTGCAGTGAGTGTGTAAATATTCATTCGTCTCTCTAAAACAGAGGGTGATTTGACTCTCTCAAAACTCTGTAATTTCCAGGGAGAAATATCAGTAGCTAACCTTGCTACACATTTTTTAGAAAAGTTGTGGCTTTTGTAAGTCCCACTCATGCTGAAAGCGCAATGTTTTTATTATTTTCGATTCTCAAAAATCTTTACCAGTTATTATTGACGGAAGTACGACATGAAAATGTATCCTTTTTTTAACAGTGCTAATTTTTTCCACACGTCTAATAAACAACCTGTTGAATATAAAGATCCTAAAGTCTACGGCCGCTTTTCACGTCTCTACTTTGTAGACGTCCACGTCGACAGGGAAAAACCGATCAAATTTCATGTTATGAAAGAGCCCTTGATCTTTTTAAAACTGAGCGTTGTTTCAATGAAAGAATCTGCTGTATCAGCGAAGTGGACGTGAGAATTTGCACGATCCTGGCACATCTTTGATGCATAGGTGTTTGGGTTTTGCCGAAAATTTACCTGAGATGTCTCAAGTTATTGCTAAACGAATAACTTTGTGTGGGACACTTTCTTGTTTTCAAATGAATGTCAATTTAGGTAAAGTCTATCAAATATAGAAAACTACTGGAGAAGAATGTTGTTTGAATTTATGCTTCGTTCTAAACACTTTATCCTCTTACCTTGGGCTATCTGAAGAATTCCCAGCAAGATTTCCGTATAACCCCACACTTCATTATGCATTCAATTCTTGGATAAAGGAAAGCAGAGGTAAAACAACAGACTTTCTTTGGGCCTACAGCTTTGTTTTTGATTGGTATGGGGTTATACAGAAATCTTTCAGAATTCCCTCACATATAAGGGTGGTTTACCTGTGTTAGATTGTCATAAATGTCAAGTCAGTCAAATATCAAAGTATCTCCCAAACTTTTTTCAATTTTTCCAATCACTTGGAGGATACTCTGGTTGGGTTGTGAGGATATCTTTGATATGTAAGGAAGGTCACTGCAGTGCTCCTTACTTGAGGTTTTCCAAAGTTATCAATTGATGTCCAAAAGTAAAAAAGAATGTTGCCAGAAACAAAATCTCAGTCAACAGTGGTTCACAACCATTTATAACCCAGGGCTCATGGGAGATCTCAAGACCAAACACTCACACAACTGAGAAGGAAGGGACAACAATAGAGCATTAATAGTAACATTTTTCTGCAAATTTTTAGTTCACTTAACAGGAGATCATGACATTCCAAGAATGCAAAAATTATAGCAACAATCAGTGACAAAATTGTTGATACACTGATCTTTTCAACCCCCTATAACTTCAATTTTATCCCTTTTGCCCTTGTTAAGTTAACCATTTCAACCCCTCTACCCCAAGAACAGAGTTCTATAAGTTGTGATTCCATGACCTTGTAGCCAAGGTTGAGTGGGGGGAGGGGGTCTGTCAATGATTTAGTGTGTGGTAGAAACGGGGCTGTTATTCTTCACATAAATGGAAATTTTTAAACATGGTGTGTCAACTAAGTTTGACATTGATTTTATAAGTTGGTACTTGACTGTAGAACACAGATTGCTAATTTGACAAGCTTTGAAGAAAACTTAATTGCAAATTTTTTTTTATACTCATCATGGTGAGCAAAATAAAGCCCTGCCTGATATGGTGTTTTTGGGTAACATATTTACATGTAGTTCACACAATGTCCTTTGTAACCAGAAGTGCAAAGGGTTTAAGGGGAACTATCTAGGAAACCTGGTGACAAATTAAAGCTGGACATGCAGGTTACCCAGAAATAGACTGGTTTTGCATTGAACAGGAAGAAAGGTTGTTCCTATTTGCTCTTTGGGACTGAAACCAAGATGAAAAGAATGGGTCTTTGAGTTCCTAAGACCGCAGGGCTTTCATTGATAATATACTGAACTGATCCTCTGATCTGTATTTCAAAGAATAAAGATAGATATTGCCGTGGCAACAGCTTTCATGAATAGTGAAAAATGAAAGCAAAGCGTAAAATTAGAAATTAAAAAAAGAAAGGAAAAATAGAACAGGACACAAGTCCTTCAGAGTTCTGGAACCCCCAACATGGCATATACTTTACATGTAGCCGCCATACTAGCAGTGCAATGACCATCATGATTATGTATATATTTGATACCAAGACATAGTGTGTGTGTTTGTTCCTAGGTCCTTGGAATGGGAGAAGAATGGCGAGGTGGGGATGTGAAGAATTATCCAGGAGGAGGTCATAAAATAAACATCCTAAAGAAGGAGACAGAACTTTACAAGAATGACAGTAATCTAGTCCTTATGTTTGTGGATAGGTGAGTCATCTGATAATTTTTTAATTTCTTTCTATAAATTTATGTCATTAAGCTAAAAGTAGGCACTTTAGAAGTCCTTTGATGTAGTTTGTCTGTTAATTACAGTTATACTATGTTGCTTTTTACATTTGAAATAAATTGGACTGTTGTTTTAGCATTATTATTTTTCTTTTATTTTCAAAGTTATGATGTGATTTTACTTGCCAAACCTGAAGAATTCTTGAGGAAGTTTCTGGACTTTAAAGCTAACATGGTCTTTTCTGCTGAAGGATTCTGCTGGCCAGACAGATGGCTCAAAGTAATTTCAATTTTTCATAATCTTAGCAATAAGTTATGTACAATGCATGGACACTGTTTATAGTCTTATCTTCAATTTTTTCCTTGCTTTTCCTTTCATTCCCTTTCCTTCTTTATTCATTGAAGTTTATTGAAAACTTAACTAGAACCATTTTTTAAGTGTGGGTCTACCGCAAAGCTGTCTACATATTTTATAGGCACTCTGAGTGTATAATACACTGTATCTGTGCTGATTTTGCATGGCAAGAACTTCTCTTCTTTGGCTATTACACCATGCCATACACTCATCACTCAAAATGTTGTGCATGCGTTAATTAGAGTCAAAACATTGCACATGCACGATAAGGACTTGACTGCGATTTGCCACTGAACAAAAAAAAACAAAAAAAAAGCCAAAATTTCAACTTGGGCATTTCTGTTGGAAAGCCAGAGTAAAAAAAAAATATGCCACATCTGACAAGGGACACCCTTCTCCACTTGGGTGATTCAAGCTTAAAAATCCCAAAGAACAGACTGATTTAACATGTGAAATGAAAATTAATGCTGGGTTCTCATCTATTTCTTTGAAAAACTCTGTCTTGCCCCTCTTTTGGGTGTGCCTCTGTGATATTTTCTTCTCTGTTCTCAAATAATCCTGATTTCCCTCATTTTTCTTCCCATGTCTTTCTTTACTTTCTCTTCTACTTATGTCCTTTTTGCCCCTCACTATTGCATTTATCGTTTCTTTACATTTCTGTTTATTATTTTTAATTTTCCTCACTCTCTCACACTATAATCTTTAATTCACCTGTGAAATTCATCCATAAACATCATTAGATAAACGTTTTATTTTTTACACGGAGAGAGAGAGAGAACCAAAGGGAGTTGCTCTCTAATGAGGAGCATGGAATATTTCTGTTTTGCAGGACCAATACCCAGAGGTTATGCATGGAAAGAAATATCTTTGTTCAGGAGGTATTACACTGTTTTGAAGTCAGTTTTTCTTGATTAATTTTACCAGATTTATTGCATTCTTACCCCTTTGTGGGGCAACTGTCCCCTGGCTACCATGAATCTATCTCTTATATAATATTATTGTGGT